GTTAGCTGGTGACACCGTTGGCGACCAGACACAGCATGAAGTCGAAGGAGTGCTGCCTTAAGCAGAGTGTATGGTTGGTCGGCTGGGGCACTGTGGACTGAACCGGAGAAAGAACCTGTAACGACAAAGCCTGAACCAGCCTGTGGAATTTGGTAACTTCTTGGTAATGTTGGCAGAGTAAAAACTTGACTCAGTGTGAAAGAAGTAGAGTTCAGGTGCATTCGTCCAGAAGTCTGGTAGAAACGGTGCTACTGCGCTAGTAGAATCGACTCCACTAGCAGGAACGTCCGCCATACCTGTGGCTGCGGCAAAATTTGAGTGAAGGTGCACGCAAGGAAAGAACCAGTACGACACTGCGCAATGGTTGGCTGGCTATTTTCAGTGAGTGGAAACGCTTGAAAAGGCGAAGCGCATCCTAATTCGGAGGCCACCACCTTAGCGAGACTAGTCAGTCGATAACGCGGTCCCACGCTAAGACTAAGTCGTGAATAGGCGAGCGAAACGACCAGGCCAGAACCGACTTACCTGTCGATGCCGCCCAGTGAAGAACAAAGGTAGTGGGTGAAAAGTCACTTTGTGGAACCGAAACTCCCACCGGTTGGAGTCTCCGCGAAACCGGTACATAAACACCAACTCTGGTAAAAGTGAATAAATGTGAGTTTAGTAAATGCTTAACGAACAGAATAATTATAAAAAGCTGTGTATAAGCAAGAAATATGACAAGGGACTGCCCAAAGTGCATCCCGGGTGTGAATAAATCAGAATTTAAACTCGAATTCTGGTCAGTGAACATTAAGCTGAGCACTAGTTGGCTTCTACGATAAAAGAATTATGGAGGCCTGAATTAACACTTCAAAGATCCATTGTTCTGTAATCTCTACATGGCGGGAGAACATCCCCCGTCATAAAATCTTGAAAAATACAGCTCATGCTGTTTAGGCCTGATATTGGCGCTCAAGTTACCAGTTAACGAGCTTCGCCCGCATTTAGGTATGGGTTTTTTGGAGTCGCCATCTTAAACCATATTGTCGTTTCTACAACAGCCAGATTCTTGGCAAACATGCGCAAACCCAATTTGTCGATATATAAATTTCTATCACCAAATTTCTATCTATTTCTCAGTGGCCCAAAGGTTGCCGTCAGTGATTTGTAATTCAGTACTTTACAGCTCACCAACCTTATTTTTGTTAACCGATGTCAAGCTTTGTATGTAAGTTTGATTAATGCACTTAGAAGAAACGCACATAAATCCGAATCAACTAGAGGACTTCATGTAATATACACATTTCATAATTTCACCAATGGAAGAGGCCCGTATTTACGGTTCTGATATATGTTCAGCATCAATAATGATTTAGTTACCGCAATTCTCATACAACTCATGTATTTCCCAGCGTATCTGGTCCACCGGTTAAAGTCCTCCATGCTTGAAACTATTTCGACGGTTTTTAATAAAATATTTGTCTTTTTGGGTCATTTTTAGAGACCTAGATAGCTGTCTCTCGGGGATCTTTGAATAGATCAGTTAATGAGTCGGTACTGGAAACGTTTTATAACGCACCATGAATGGAAACTACATGTTACGCGGCGCAGTAGGACTTCAGTTTCCATTAATGTACTCAACAAGGCCTACTATTATTTTGACAGTAGTCAGAAGAATATTAATTAGGTGTAAATAAAACAAGTAGCGTACCTTCGCAGAACCCGGTTCAGAAATTCCAGTAGGCCAAATAAATGGTTTGTACGTTTACAGTGAAAGTAAAGTGGCTTTGCGGTTTGGCTGCCTTTCGGAACATCTTAGTAATTTAAATACTCAAAACACACATTCATTTGTTCTGTACCTTCCAATCTGAATTCACTAAACGCCAAGTGTGCGCTCTCTAACCGTCTCAACTGCCGATGGACTGTTGAAACAGATTAGTTTGGTAACACCTATTCGGCGTGTCGCGAGGAATCCAACTACAACCTCCAAGACCTCCATCATAAGCTGAATGCTCTGCTAGGCTTTCGGTTGACTGCACTGCCCATTCTGCTTTTTGTTTGCCACTCGACTCCTCTCAACTTATACTCAATAATAGTTGTTTGCTCTGAAGATCTCTCGAAGAAGCTTCCTTTTGTCCCATTTGGCGATCGTCGTATCACTATCATTTTCCACCCACCGTCTTAGCGTGCGTTTACGGTTTCGATAGTGTTCCGACTGCTGGTTGCTGTTGTTGTAGTCGAGCATTTGCAGCGCATTTGTCGGTCTTCTATGGGCTATTTTCTGGTTGGCGGTAGACGCGAGCCTCCAATAACGGAAGTTTGTTTCCTATTTCCTCTTTCGTCTTGGGCTGAAGATCGAGGACTATCGACCTCAGTCGTTCCTTACAGTTGTCAATACTGGCTCGGTCGGTGCTGACAAGATTTTTGCAAAGGTAGCGTTCTCAAAATCCAGGTTTGGGCTCTCAGAGTATTCAGTCGTCCAGAATTCCACTCCATCATACTAGGCACCAAACCTTTCCACACATCAGTCCATAAGTTGACAGGCGAAAGTTTATGTACTTATGGATAGATGCGCTATGCCCAGGTAATGTTCAAGTCTAAAATACATAGTCACTGTGAACTTGATAATTTGTCAGAATTTGTAAAACAACTTATCTCCTAGCGACTGCAGTACTCACCTGTGTCAACTGATACCGACTAGGCTTGACTTAACCTTTAACCCCCTAGACGGATGAATGCGAAATTCCTAATTTTAGATTTAGTGCTGACAGTTAACAGTTAGTTGCTTTATGCAACAACCCCCACCGCTCTCACCGAATGTCCCAGTTATCCACAAGACTGCTCAGGTGCACCGAAAGATGATGCTCCCAGACCCAGTTTCAAGGATTTGTCGTAATTAAGTTGATAAAACTATTTATTTGCAGGGAGTGGTTATTTTTAGTCAATGGCAGGATAGTGTACACGCACTCAAAGTAAGCAAAACAACTGCTAATCATGGACTAGAAGCCAAATTTCCAGAGCAATTGTTGTCCTATTAGCTTTGATGTAAATATTCCAAACTCTGGTCTCGGCATATCCATAAGATAAATCGCACCTAAACTATCCATCTCCGCGCTGACAGCCATTATGCCTTAGCAGGGGCATATTTTGGGCAGCGATAGTTCATTGGCCAACTGAGGGCGTCTATCTGCGTTTACTCCTATTTTAACAAATGGACTAAGCCAAGTCAAAATTCCTCAAGTAATGGTGGAATTTCACTTAGTGTGTCAACTCGGAATAATTGCTACTCATTCAGAGTAATTGACACCTTTTAACTTAAGATCACTTCCTTCTAAGGGAAAGGGTTTCAATGAAGTAGTGTGCTATGGAACTGTCCTTTGTATCGGTTGCTTTACCTAGTGGGCGTCTGTATCAATGAGAGGGGACGACAAACTTTCTTTTATCCCTTCTTCAGCCACCAGCGTTCGGGAACAAATAAGATTTTCAGGAGAAGTTATTTTACGTAAGGCCGCAGATCTGAAAAGTCGAAAAAGCAGTTAGCCGTATAGTACGGCCTGAATTAACAAACTCCGTGACAGGGTCACCTTAACTCAGGACACTCTTGGCGCCTACGTCCTGTTACCGATGGTTTACATGCGTTCCGTGTCATATAGACTTTTGTCACTCTTCAAACTCCTGGAAAACTGCCCTCCCCCAAGAAGAAAAAGGTTTCTTAAACGCATTGGCTACTGGCGTTTGCTTCTGAACCTTCAAAGATGCAAAAGAACTATGCGGCCAATCAGATGCACTGAGAGGGCACACGTGTGCGCAGAAGAGTGCGTCATCCGGACGTCAGCTTGCCGGGTGGCGGCGTTCAATTTGTGATTCCAAGGGCTCATTAAATGTTTTGAGGGGTTTAAGGGAAAGGTCGCTGTCCACTCCAAGCTCACATGCAAACAATGCCCCAGCACACATCTGGTGCCACACATCCGGTTGTCATTCTTGTCATCTTTTCCCTTCTGACATACAGTGGGGGCGTACTGGCCATGGATAAGGAACAGGTCAATCGAGGCTCCTTTCATCCATTGGCGTATGACTGTAAGTCTGTTCTGCTAGTTAACCCAGTAACAGGATCTCTTTGTCTATACATATACTCAAGTCGTTTATTGAACAATATCATTTCGTTGCGTCTTTATGAAAATTGAACAGGTGACATGTCCACCTCTGATTACGACTTTTTCAAATAAAAGACGGATAGAGCAAATTCACTAAAGCTACAGTATCGCTATGCACACATGCACAAGTGATATGATTCTGTTACTTCAGTGCTGTAGAATCTACTTCAGAAATGTTTGAGCATTTACTGGAAAGGTGTCATTGTCTAATATATCACAAAAAACTAACTGATAGGATTTGTCGTCCCGCGAAATGACGGCTCTTATTATCCTGTTAAATTTACATATATGTAAACAATGAAAAAACATGACTTTTCCAAACTGCCGATTTCTGAGAAAACTTTAATCTATGTTTAAGTCGGTTCTTGCATAGTAAGTCTGGAAGGAAAGTTACTTTTGCAAGACTCCCATCTGTCCCTCGCAAATTACAACCTTTGACTAATTTTCCAAAGGCTTTAGGCGCACAAAACATTGACATCTTTGTTTACTAAATCATACTGACCTAAGTAATAAAGCAAATGCCAAACTGTTTCACCAAAATGGCTTGGATTTTTATTTTATTGATATGTTATGTTATTTTTAAATGAATTTTCCGAAGCCGACTGACAGTCTCTTAAGTTCGAAGAAAGAGTCGACAAATCTGGGATGATGACTCAGGTATTACCTTTTGTCCTATGTAAGGCACTGGTGTGGAAATGATCATGACTAGGAGACAGATCGGGAACCGCGCCTTGTAAAGCCATTAAAGTTGTGCTCGATAGATCTTATTTTCTCATATATAAGGCTGTGGTTGCTGTCAAGTTTACTTTCATATCAATCAAACAAATACTAATGTATTGGCCAAAATCTGACATTCAAGAATTCCCATATCTCACTTAAGCGATAAAACTTGATTTTCCCATTCTCCTTTACCTGGATATCTCACCGGAAACACCTGTTAACCGAGCATATCAATCATTACCATTTTACTTGCTGTTTTAACTCGACTTTATGACTCCAGGTTGTTTGGTCTGGTTAGAACACACAAAAGAAGACTCAACTCACATAATGCTTACCCCCTATTAACGGCTGTGCATCTGAAGTTCTGCCAGCAGACTCGAATTTTATGTGGCATTTTTGTCCCATTCACGGTATTCCAAAGTCTATTGGTATTGAGCAGACTGATATCACCTGTACCCCCAGGGGCGATAACCAACAAGCACTAATGCTGCATTTAAGATACTGATTACGGACAGTCACATTTTAGTATGCATACACCTTAGCAGGGTCTGGTTTCTGCAAATGTTTTCTGCCTCAGCTGTAGAATATTTAACTGTGAACTAATTGACATCCGTAAACTGGCTTATTTCGGAAAAACAGCGCAATTTCAAAAAAACATTTGATTGTCAATTTCGGCCCATCTCTTCAGTAATGCATATTAGACTTATGTAAAGTCATATCTTCAACGCCTAGCTTATTTTTAGAGACAAGTATATCAAACTACCACCGCTAAATTGGTCAATATTGCTGTACTGTCGGCAGACTCTCATTAAGAGTCTCAGAATATGCACGAATTTTGTGGTCGGACTAGTAGTCATTGATTTGACCTCTTTCAAGGCCATTTAAGCCGCCGATCAGTATTTTCAATACAGTCACACCTTCTGGGACGCATTAAGACCCCAGTTCTGAGCAGCTTGCTTATTCTCCATTCCTGTATATGCAAGTCAAGTTTTATGGCGCCGTGGGTTGGCTGACGGCTTTTTAGGCCCTCCAAGACATGCCTTTGCATTGCAGCCCGCTTATAGCCTGTTGCCTCTGCACACTTACAGGCATTTTTCATTTCCGCACTGTCACGTTGTTTTGGCGCTCTGACCGACTTGTGGACCTTACTCCGAACTCTGCCCAGGTTGCCGGTGCGAAAGCTGACTGAGCGCGTTCCCCGACCCCTCTTTCCGCACATTCCCTCCCCCGATCTTGTCGCCACGTACGTGCGCCGGTATTTTGCACCCTTTTCGTGTACAGAGCTCTTTCCAGGCTCGATAAACGGCGCAGAGCGTATGAGCCCAGGCTATCCAGAATGCGACCGATCACACCTCCACAAATGTGGAATAAAATTAGGAGGTAACTTTAGGGTAGCCGTAGTCCAGGCCACCGTTGATGGCTAGCCTAGGGCTTAATCTAATTTGCTTTGTTCGACAGGCGGGACCATAGTATCTGCTGAACCCAATTGCTCACAACAAAGCATGCAATTTGCGGGCTGGGAATTGCAGTCCTGTTAAAAACGGTGTCTCGATCTTCTGTATTCTCAATTTATTCTAAGTTAGAACCTCTTGCTTCTTAGTGCCGAACCGGCATTGGTTCCTAATGTTGCAAGACGGTTTTGTTGATAATGGGAAGTTAACAATTGATCGAACTCTTGCTTGGGTTTGCTTTATGCTTGAATCCTTTATAATTGTGGCATGAGAGAATCGGTACGTGAGAGAAAACTATTGCCAACCTGTTATTTTTACGAGTGTTGAGTGACAGAATGGAAAGTTCAAGAGATTTATTGTGGTGTTTCATAACGCCGATGTACGTCATGAATAAAGTTCCCACTTCATAGAGGAAAGTAATTAGTGTTTTGTGGGTATTTTTAAGAAAAATCACCTTGGCTTTTAGATTAGTGTGTCGTTTACCACTTTATTCCTCTTTTATTTGAATGGCTGGTGAATTAGAATAGGGGTCGCAACGTTTGGCTTTCATGACAATTTCAAAGGGGGGCTTGCATGCTGAATCGAAAAACCTCGACAGATAGAAGCCTTGTAATGCGAGTTCAAGGGTAAGTATTAGGAAATCCTGTGCTGGTCCTTAATAAGCAATCCACTTCTAGACTGAAAAATAATGTCGCCAAAAACAGCCGCTTTACAGGATTAATATACTTACTCCTCAGACAGTGCCCCCAAAAAACTATAGAACAAGAGGTCGTCAGAACTTGCATGCAGCAATATAAACTCTGTAGCTGACATACAATGTCTCATAACACGCAAATTCAGAAAAGGTTTTCTGGGTGCAGAAAAAAATAGATATTTCAGATTCACAATCCAGTCTGTGACAATAATGTTGGTGTCGTTTGAGACAGAATAAATTTTTTCTGAAGAAGACTTTGGTGATGCATTCGAAGGCCATCAGCTGAGTAGCTTTTTTCACAGATATGGTGCGTTTTATTTACTTAAGCGAAATCTAATCCGATGGTGCATAGACTAGTTCATAAGCTGCACGGCAGCTTAAGTTCATGATAGCCCCATCAGCTTTAAATAATCACAAATGACAACACTTTTTCTTAAATATCAAAATTCTACTGTTAGCAAGTTCAATAAACTATCGTTCCTGATTACTTTCATCCTAGTATTTATTTTTTGCCTGAACGTCTCCCACAAACACGTAACGCCCAGCCAGATGTTCGGATGATCTCAGCTATACGTTCTCTAGTGCAACACAGCTCCTCTCTTAGTCAACGACCACTTAACATTGACTAGACTTTAGGTCCACTTAATGCCACTTCACATCAATGGTTCGCAATTGGGACTTCTTAAGCGATGGGTTGCCAGATACGTCCAGCTAATCACCACAGGGCTACACATTCGAAAATGCAATGCATCTTTTTCAGGTTTTTTTAATTTGTACTGACCGGGCAACAGTTCGACGGTCGATTTCGAAGATGTCCGCCGTGTGCACCACAGCGGCGTGAGAGCAGGGACGATGACTGGCAAGTTAATTAGTTAATACTGATAGTAACCCTTCACAGCATCCACCTCATGCTCTCCTGCTCCTCACTTTGTCCCGGTGTCAAGACAGAGTCAAGAAGATCGGAGGCGGGAGAGGCGGCAGGTAGCTGGCACAACAAAACCCCGCATCCAGGCGCACCGCCGCATTCCCTGGTCCCCAAGGGATACTGACTAGGATTTTATACGACAACCAAAATGGATGGGAAGCACGGATCCCAAATGGTGCGACGTAAGTCGCCAACTGGGCCTGGGCATTTAGTATGCGTGCGGACTCCTGCCAGAATCCTACGTAGCTCCTACGTTGGTCCAGCACGTGGCCCGTTTTAGAGAAATTCCATATAGCCACTAGTTGTGCAGTCACTTTTAATATTTAACATTTCCCGACCACATATGTAGACTGAGAGTTCTTTCAACAAGGCTTTCAAAGCACTCATGCGAACATTCCGAGGTCTATATGAGTTCGACTACGTGCTCATGTTTAGGTGAATCATTTCAGATTGAAATCAAATCTTATCCGCCATATTTTCGTGATGTCCTTTCAACTTGTCGTAATGCTGAAACTTCTCCTTCACGTTGATAAGAATGGTTTGCCGGCCTCTGTCTCGCTGTCAAATCAGTTCTTATCATGGCAGTTGTGTGAAGTCTGGTAGGGATGGAAAAGTGTCTCCTATAAGGGTTACTAGTATTTTAATATAAACTGGCTTAGTCAGAGTATTATGGGATTTGCATTGGTATCCCATGTATAGCTAGTTGTACCTGTCCGTTTTGAGCGAACCAATGACTTCAGAATCTCATTTTGTCTTGGATTTTCTAACGTTTTTAAAATATTAGAAACAGTAGTGGTGCAGCCTTGATTATAAATTCTGTGTAAAACAAACCGTCTGCAAAATGCATTTCCCCTCCTTTCCGACTATATCTTCCCGTCAATAGGACCAACGCTGATTACGAATTTAGAATATGTTTCATCTTAAGTGGACTTCTTGCAGCGAAATGCGGTCAGCAGGAGATTTCTGCTTCACCTAGTACTGCTACCATCCCGCTTTACTGGAGCTGTTTGACTGTCTTCATTTTGGTTCTTGTGCGTTAAGTAGGTCTGTGGGCTGAGAAGGCGGAGCAAGGTTGTTTGCGGGTCACATTTACGTTGCTCCTAAATTCACTCAGAATGCAGAAGCACTTGCAGAGTTGCATTCGGTAAGAATAGGGTGTAGGGCCTCCAAGTAAATGGCAACGCCAAAACTATGTCCTAAAAATCCGTGTGACTGTAATTGTCATTCATTATTCACCGTTCCCATTGTTTGAAGTTTCCCTATCTGCCTGACTAGATGCAACTTTACCAGCGGCGCTTTATTCAAAGTCCGATAAGCCTTTCGGTAGAAATGTACTAATTTTCTGTGTCTTCTTGCTCTCCGTACTGTGTGTTGCCCCACCCGTAAAACCCCCTCTGCTACCTCTCGGCGTATGCAACGGTCCACAGGCTAGCTCATGTTAGTTGGGGGTCCCACAACCTATCGTTACCCTATATTCTACTTAAGGTTGTTTGATTAAAGGTCTTTGGTCAGAATTGAGATGTGCAGGCGTAACCTTACCTAATTATCGTTCCATGGCATCTTACTACGTTTGCGGTTATGATATCTCTGCTCAGTGACAGGAACCAAACAAGATGTTTGCGAAATATGCAAGAAACTCTTACCTGCCATTTGATTCAGCATTCCCAGGCTATTCCTTATGACTACTACTGTTTTCTCTTCCTACTGCTTATAGCTGAACCTTAAAGTTATAATACTAAAATATGATAGAAAAGTACTAGTTGAAAAGGTAAGGGAGACCACCTAAAACAGGCCACGTCGGATTTGCGCTACGTCGACAGAGAGGACGGATTAGGGCAGGACACGCGTTAGTCGGGTTACGCAGATTCTCCGCAGCTCATAACGAATGCCACGCGTTAGGGGGCACGTCTGGGCACAGGCATATGCCGCACCAGCCACCAGCGCGTAAGCCCTGCATCAGAGGGCTGGTTGGCTCGGACAACAGACTGGTGCATGGGGGCAGGGATGGGAGAGCAGGGTCGACACTGCGGAATCCTTTTCCTCGACACTTCAAGGCATTTCTCACGTGCTTGATAGTATTACCTTGCGTTAAATGTCCTGGCTTGGAAGCTTGTCAGTTGGCAGGGCAAATCAGTCTCCTCAAGTTGGAAAATCAGGCTGAAATGGTTCCTCCTTAATGTGGCTTATATTGCCCTCCAGAAATTTGGCCATCTTGGTCTGTGAAGCAAGAGGAGGGACCAGCTTGTGTATACGCAGATATTGCAGCTTCCGCACGTGATGTCCCTCCGTAGATGGAACCGCGAACACTTCAAGACTACTCGGACCGGAGTATTTTACCCATTGTTTCGTCATCCGTCGATTGCTGAGGTGCAGCAGCTTCTACGATCGGAGGGCTGTTATCCGCGGTAACGGACTTGGTGCAGAGATTGTTTTCCTAGCACTGAGGTGGACGCGGAGCCGCCCAATCATAGAAAATCAGTTTCCATGTAAAAGTCAGGTGAGGAGAGTCTGATCAACGTTGTCTATTTTCCTCGGCCAACTGGTATGCGATATTTGATGCTGTAGTGCTTGTGGGCGTGTACCTCAAATTGGCCGCGCTGAGTCTGGTTGGGGTCTCGTTCATAACTAACCATGCGCGTAACATGTGCCATGCGGCAGTTCACGCCATTTCGGTCAGCGTGCCTAGTCTCATCACCAGCCCCCCAGAAGACTCGGATGGGCCGCTGGTACACGGGTAAGGAGGAAGAGTGTGGGACCAATACTGAAGTACTGCTCATGGCTATGAATAGTGTTCCACATTAAAATAAAAGGCACGTCCTTGTGTTTGGTAACGTTAAACTGCTACATCCTATCACGTCAGCCAGATCACCACTTTTATCCCCAATCGGTTCTACCTAAGCGGGCCGCTGATATCTAAACGAGGGAAGATTACTTGAGCTCTGCCCACCTTGGATCCACCTCAGTTATCCTCTTAAGATATGCACGAATGCACGAAAGTATGCTTTCACCATACTCCAAGATATTACCAATCGCATTTGAAAAGCCTGCAACGCAGGAAGTAGTTCAATCCTTCTCTCTCTTGCGGGTGAAGTTGTGATTACTCTTTCGCGAAGTGGCGTTTTTAGAACTCTCGCCTTTGAGAGACTTGATATCACCTCTCTTTTTGAACAATGGTTTGTGCAAATTTAGGGGACTGCACATGGGTGACACGCGAATCACGGTCGTTTATCCTCTTTAGTCACTTCGGCCACGTTCTTTACCGGTCTTCTTTACTCTGACTCGCTATTGGAACGCTCTGTGTGAGAAGAAAGCATGAGGTAGACGCGGCGAAAGTCCGATTCGCTTTGGAGAGATTTAACTTTTTGTCATCGCCCCATATCTAGAATGTAATAATTCTCGTATCTCGCGATGGGTGAGCTTGGGAACGATGGTTTCCAAAATAACCTTTAAGGTAGATTTGCGTAGATGACATGTCTTGCTTCCTTGCCGCTTCTCTACAGTAATTCATGTTTAATTCGTCTTCAACTCTGTTCTTTACGACAGATTGTTATTCTTTTCAATCCTATTAGGGAGTGACCCGGGACTACTGGTTTATATCAAGGCCTTCAAATATAGGAATGTAGTTGGAAATCTATTTGTTTTAGCCTTGCGGAGCTATTGAAATTTTAAGTCGATTTGAAGTCTTGAGTATCGTGAACCACCCACTATCCTTCCAACTTCAGAACCCTCGGAAGACAACTAAAGAATAAGTAGTTTGAAAAACAGGCCCAGGCTAAAAGTTAATTGTTTTTGCACACCCATTGTCTGAAGACGAGCTGGGGAACCAGTCTCGAAAATTCTCAATAAAATTTTGCTGTTTCCCAAAGAACTTCATCTTTCTAATAAGTAGTTTGTAGTTCTCACTTGACAGTAGCGGGCATTTCATGTACTTGTGTCATAGAGCAGCGTGCTGATGAGGATGGATTTAAACCACCAAGTTAGGGCTGATTCTGCGCGACAGAATGCAGCTTGCAAGTGGTCAGACTGGTGCTCTACATCCGGCCTGGTATTTCGCTCTAGATTGCAATATTTCCTTGAATCATGATTCCCGCGTAAGTCAACATGCCTGGACGGTCAGATGATGGTCGGGGACGTTCAGCATCTATGCCGTTAGGCGGCTGTTGTGTGCCTTGCGTTCAGTCAGTCCAGGTCTTCTCACCAAGAGATGGAACAGTCCAGGATGCGCAGCCTGTCAGCCTGTGTTGTGGCGCTACGTGCGCAGTCTTTAGAGGTCACAATTTTATTATACCCCGTCAATGAAAGCTGTCGCAAAGACCTGCATTTTACGAGCATTTAGGCGGCTTTTATTTTATTCCTTACGACGTTCATTAGAGTGAGCTACAGCCAACACTACGCGCATTAGGACTAAAAAAGATCTGGCTGGGTACTTAGTGCCATAGCATTGTGTCGGCCGTGGCGAAAACTGAGTTCGACCAGTTTTCGGGAACCTAGGCCTGCATGACGTTGCGGGATTGCCGTACCACCTTTTAAAATATGTCGTTCTCCCCGTATTATTTCCAGCCCAATTTCTTTTTACAAAATCGATTATCTTTATGAGACTGTCGTTGATAAAGCGGAAGCTTATCCGCATTCCTGGGTACTTCTCTCGGCAAAGACCATGATTCTACGGTGATCCTCTAAAATACACAAACCATATCACAGGCCTTGTCTGAGATGCGAAGTCAAACGATTAGGATGAATACAGGCGGAGTTTCTGCAAACGATACAGAGTACCTTATGCAGAAGGCATTACCGACAAAGTTAAGGGAGACTGGAATGGCCATTTCTGGCTTGTTAGCCGTAGTCAGCCAGCCATACCCAACCCCGAAGTGTGAAACACCCGAGGCTCGAACTCGCGACCTGTTATTTAGAATTCAACGCCTCTAGCCACTGAGCCACGAGCCCGTTGCCTTATATTGGTCGGTTTTATTTTGCGTTTTGGGGGCTCATGATAACCACATTCGTGGGGTTTCGCGTCGTTCGTCCTTCCTCTCACAACTATGGAAAGAATGCATCAGTGTCCCCAGGGGCCAAAGGCTTCCATACTTGTAAGCATCAGCTGAAATTCAGTCGACAGTTGCCTCAGGGATTTGAGTGATACAGTGTCAGCTTTAATATTGACTAGTAGAAGTTTGCAAATGCCCTCGTTGTGGATTGGAGATGGATACTTTGCGACCTTCCGAAAATTCTCAGCACAAAAGTCCCTGATGAAGAAATTTCACGAAGACAATATTCTTTGGCCTGGACTAAGTAACAGACCAGACTTTGCAAACTGTTAGTCATGTAAGGTATTGATAGCAGCAAGGTTGATTATGTTATGGTATTCTGCAAAGTCCTAAACTTCCAATCCTTTACTATGTATCAAACTTTAAACATCCCCAGAGTCCTTTTTTGCAGTTTTATTTTCACTGAGGAAAACACAGATTGGGTTGTTTGGCTTACGTAAGTCTGGTACAGTGTATTCGTCCCGGACAGCAGTCATTAGATCTTCTCGTGCAGGCGAAATACAGTAGGTGGGCTAACTCATTAAATTTCAACCGAAATTCCCAAGTGCGTTTTCGTTTCGAAAAGATTAATTAAGTGGGGTTGCAAAATAATCGTCGTGCAGCTTAATTTTATAATAGTTCAGTTACCACAGGGTGCCAGCTTTTGAAAGAATTTCTTTTCGGCTGCACGCAGAAACTAGACTCTGTAAAAAACGACTGCTTGCGTAGCATGCATTTTTCTCATTGATTTTCGATGCCCTTAAAAATCCAGTAATATTTCATGGAAAACATGCATAAAAATATTCATTCTTTTACTCATTCGGTCGAAAATTACGTCTTCTTCCAATTTTGTATTGGAAGGAAGGGTATAATTCGGTTTTCATTAACTTATCCAATTCCCGAATAATTTTGAACCCGCTCTACCCTCACACTTGCATTCAGAGTTTCCAAGCTACAAACCACGTATTCTCCATGTACAGCAAACCACACATTTCTCTACGATATTAAGAGGAGACCGCGTGGGGTTCATAAAAGTTAGCAGTGGATTTCAGCCATATTTTTGACTTTGCAAGCCACATTGGTGAATGCTGAGACATGACGTTTTATGAACGGCCATTTCACGACATTAAAAATCTCCCAATTAGAAACATTTTTGAAACCAAATTGTACCCTTCCTTTGAGTATAAAATTGGAAAAAGATGTGATTTTCTACCGAATGGGCAAAAAATAAATATTTTAATGCATGCTTTGCATGAAATCTAACTGGATGTTTAAGAACATCGAAAATCAATGAAAAAATTTATGCTAATTAAATATTCATTTTTACAGAGTATAGTTTCTACGTTCAGCCAAAAAGAAATTCTTTTGAAAATCGGCATCCTGAGGTAACTGAATTATTTAAAAATTATAATGCACGACGATTAGTTTAACAACCCCATTTACCTAATCTTTTCGAAACGAAAACGCATTTGGGAATTTTGGTTGGCATTTCATGAGTTAGCCCACCTACTGAATTAGAGCATGAGATGTGAGGCGACATGAAAAATAATACGGTGTCTGGAAGTGGTCTTTTGGCCTGCCACGTTCTTTGAGTGTCGCCCATCTTAGGTGTGTTACACTTGGCATTCCCCGTTTCCGAATACGAAGATGCGATCATTGGAACAAAAGTCTATCAGCCTGACGTTTCGGATTTTCACTCGAGCGCATCATCAGAGGCGATCGCAGCCTCCTGCGCCGATCGGCGATGACAAGTGTTGAGCTATTACTTTCTTATTTGGTTCAGTAGGATAAGTTTGCCAGAAAACAATATATCTTCTGTTGGCATCCCAAGGTTTGGTGAAAGGATCACGCGGATATGCAATTAGATTGGCCTACGTTCGCTCAGGTCAGGCAGCGGACACTGACTTGTCAATAGACGTCAATGTCAGTGCTCACGTTCCTCCCACTCACCCCCCTCCCGCCCCCTTGATGCAAGATCCACCGCTACTTCAGACTCTGACGGCCCTCAGGCTCCCCTGCCTGACGACGCGTCACCGCCGTTGACTTTTCCCTGGCGTGCCCGCTTAGTCCTGTCAAATGCTGCGCCGTCTGTAGGTTTAAAAGAGTCATCTGATTGATATCACGACCAGTGGACAATCCTACTGTCGGTGAAAAATTCAGACTGCAGTAGGTGTGCTAACTCATTAAATGTCAACCGAAAGTCCGAAATGATTTTTTGTTTCAAAGAGATTAATTAGGTAGAGTTGTAAAACTAATCAGTCTGCAGTAGAATTCTATAATAATTCAGTTATCTCAGGATGGCGGCTTTCGAACGAACTTCTTTCCTGTCGCATGCAAAAAGCACACACTTTCAAAAATGACTACTTAAATAGCATGCATTTTTCTCATTGATTTTCGATGTCCCTAAATGTCCACTTACATTTCATGGAAAACAGGCATACAAATATTCATTCTATCGCTCAGTCGATAGAAACTTTCGTCTTCTTCCAATCTTATACTTGAAGGAAGAGTAGAATTTGGTTTTTAAAAGCTTTTCCAATTCCCGAATCATTTTGAACCCGCTCTACCGTTACACTTGGATTCAAGGTTTCGAAACTACAAGCCGTATATTTTCCGCGTACGGAAAACCACACATTTCTCTACCGTATTAAGAGGAGACTATATGGGGTTCATAAAATTTAGTGGTGGATTTGATCCATGTCGTTAACTTTACAGGACACATTGGCAAATGCAGAGACATGACGATTTATGAATGGCCATTTCACGGTATTTATTTGTTCCACCATTAGAAACTTTTCTAAAACCGAATTATATCTCTCCTTTGAGTGTAAACCGGAAATAAAATGTAATTTTCTACCGAATGAGTAAAAGACTAACTATTTTTGTATACGTTTTCCGTGAAATATATCTGGACATTTAGGGGCATCGAAAATCAATAAAAAAATTCACGCTACTTAAGAAGTCATTTTTACAGGATATAGTTTTTGCATGCAACCAAAGGAAGTTCTTTCGAAAGTCGGCATCCTGAGGTAACTGAATTATTATAGAATTATATTGCAGACTGATTAGTTTAACAACCCTACTGAATTAATCCTTTCGAAACGAAAAGGCATTTCGGGATTTCAGTTGACATTTCATGAATTAGCCCACCTACTGTATCTTCTTAGTCCTACCTCCTTTAATTTTGTTTTAGGACTGGTTCAATTTACTTGAATGTCTGCCGTTAAGAAAGTAGGCCAGATCACTTTAAATGTCTAATTCCTTCCTGCCCTTAAGCATTCGGCCCGTCTATGCGGCTACTCAAATAAAGCGAGGCTACTGATAAAAATGGATGGAATCATAGGGATTCCGCTCGAGTCCTCCGCAATACACTTCAATTTACGTGTTAAGCAAACTGGGTAGGAAGCCGTCGGTCGCCGGCAAATGTCGGCCTTTTGCGTAAAAACGTTTTCGCTTGCTGTTTAAAAACAGGCTGGCGGGAGGGTTCCGCATGGGGCGATAAGAGTAAATAAGATCAATCGAGATTAACGGGGCAAAGCCTGCGAGACTCTTCAAAGAATATGAAAATCTACCCTTCGATTATCAGGAAAAACTCGCGAAAGCGGTCTTCGTTCACACCAGTGTCTTGGTCCCCATAAGAGTGTCAGTTCAATAACCGTTAATTTTCATGAACCACGGCAACGAAGAGTGTGGGTGCAGGAAAACATGTGCCAGAACCCCGAGCAGTGCACATTAGGACCAAATAATTTGAGCATAAACCTTGCTAAGCAAACCAATCAGTGTCTGATTAGCCAGCATTAGTTCTGCCTTTTGACTAAAAAGTACTGGTTGGATATATTTCTCTAAAAAATGTCGTTGCCAAAAATATGCAACACCTTCTACTTTGCGTATATGCAGATTCTTTGGTATGTATACGAGAAGCTGCTAATCAGATCGCAAGCGTACATCTGCTGTTCTGTTGAGATTGCCATATGGGTTTACAAGTGAGTCCTAACCAGTCGGATTTCAGCGTCTTTTTGATCTCTCAGTTATTTTCTCGCTGACGAACATTTTGCTTTGTACTACTCCAATCTGGCCCTCTATGTTGATGAGCAGCTTTACTACGTTCGACGCCAGGGGTTTGCGAGCATGTGTTTTTAAATACTCAAATCAGAATAAAGGTATGAAAATGGCCTCAGTGCTTACCAAACAGCAAATCCTAAGGACGGTATAACAATTATCCCTCGAAAGTTGTGTCAAGTGTACAGTGAGTGACCGATCTGATGAAATGTTGACCACAATTTCGAAATGCGTTTTCGATTAGGAAGGATCACTTTGGTTGGGTTGTAATACCGATTATCTTGCGGCATAATCCTATAATATTTCGGACTCGGCAGAATGTCAGTTTTTGAATGTATTTCTTTTCAATCTTCTGTAGAAACCGTATCTGGTAAAAAAATAACAACCCATATCGCATGCATTTTATCATTGATTTTCGACGGTTTTGCAAATTCAAATATATTTTATAACGAACATTAACAAAAGCACTCTTTCTCTCACTCGTTTAATAGGAAATCATGTCAACCTCATATTTTATACCCGAAGAATGAGCATAATTACAGTGGGTGGAATAACTCATGAAATGTATCGAAATTTACGAATGATTGCTAATCACTCGAGAACCAACACCAATCTGTGGACCCAATATCTATGCTAGTAAAGCACAATTTTAAGAGAATTAAAAGCATGGAATAAATAATAAGGACAATGTTGTGTTGTTTAGAAATGCCAATTTTTTAGAAAAGCGCAAAATCCCGAAAACGTGACATGATTCCCTATTAAACGAATGAAAGAAAGAATGTTTTTGTTTATGTTCGTTATAAAATATATTTGAACTCGCAAGACTATCGAAAACGAAAAATAAGCGTGCATGCGACATAGGTAGTCATTTTTTACCGAGTACGGTTTCTAATGGAGAATAAAAAGAAGTACATTCAAAAGCCGACATCCTGCCGCAAGATAATCGATATTACAACCTCACCATAGTAATCCTTCCTAATCAAAAACGCACTTCAGAATCGTGGCCAACATTTCATGGGATCAGTCACTCGCTGTAAATAACTCTCGCCGATCTGTCACGACTAAAAGATGGATCCCGGAACAGGTTTGACATTAAGTGAAGTTTCGATACTATGCAGGCAGTCGTACAGTACAAAAATCCATTATCAGAAAGGGTCACCGACAGAGACAGGGGTGAATGCAGTGACCATTTGTAACATACTTGCAGTCACCAATCCGTCACGCCCGGACAACATAGACGGACGACTTGGAGCTACGACGCGCGTTATCGGACCACCAAGCATATGAGTCCAAATATCTGCCATACATCACAGACGAAAATCCTGCCAGCTATGACTGGCAACATAAATACTTAAGTGTAAATGAAAGTGACGGGCGATTCCTTATTGACTTGGAGCTTCGGTCCGGGTTCTTCATTTAGTTAGATGGCTACCGGCGCTCACTTTGCGACGCGTCACCGGCAGGGAGAATGAAAACTGTAGTTCAACAGTAGGTGCTTCCAGACATCGGTCTAGAACAACTTGACCGTGGGCTTGGACGGCGGTCTGAGCCTTTACTTCAATTCGGCAGATTGCCAAGTATTCAGAAATTGAAATACTATGACCAGGGTTTCAGGAACAGGAGGCGTTGGTCACAAACGCTCGATTAAAATTTATCGGCTTTGTCAACATGCCCCTCCGAGAACCCCTTACATCCTTAACAAGTCAGCTAGAAACACTAACGATCAAGAAATTTACAGAAACGTCTGTCATTAAATACAGTAATCAACGGGCTTTAATAATGCTTCATTTATGATAAAAGTTTCCCTGGGCTAATATCCTGATATTTGCTTCAGTCTTAAAAGTTATTTAAGACGTACTCGTCCTGACGGGTTCTCGCGGGAATATCCTACATCTGCTAGAAACTGGCAACCAAGCGTCCTGCGTATTGCCCAGCCCAAGGGGAGCTCAAAGCCTAGCCCCCAGCCGAGCACTAGCTTCGACTACTACTCGTTAACCTGAATCCATGTTATCTAAAGGGTTTAAAAGTGCAAACTGAAGAAGCTCGCCGGTGCGCTCACGAGGACATGCCAGCGAGTTTCAATCTGAAATGTACATTTCCAGCGCAGATTACCTTTCTCATCTGTTTATGCCTCAGGTAGCGTCTCTTCATGCACGAACGTCGTTATCTCATACAGCCTAACTGCCTGCCGGCGAGTTGCTTCCATTTCCCCAAAAAACACTCGTGCTTCCCGATTGTTGGTGATTTCGTGTTTCTTCTATCTCTTTCAGCCTGTGAGCAGGATGACCTACTAGGAATGATCTCGCTTGCTATTACCGACACCCAGATCACGGCCTCCTCAGTTCTGAATAGCGCATGGTCTAAGGACTGCGCGCCAGCTAATGGACGTCTGTATCTGCCCAATGGTTTGGCGTGGTGCCCCAAGTACAAGTCTTCTACAGAGTGGCTCCAAGTGGACCTCGGAATTCGTGCAACGGTACTCCTAAAAAGACCACCTTGGTTTTTCCTATTCTGACTGGTTACATAGAGATATCTGGAGAAGGACGTATCAACGTGTCCTCACAGATTAAGGCTTAAACTGAAAATTTGCAGCTTCCTATGTAGACGTATTGTCGACTATGAACAGACTCGTTTAAACGGTTAGCTTTTTGCTAAAGCGACTTCAGTGAATAAAACATATAAAACTCGGTTTTACGGCCATGTATGTCTCAACATTTATTTCTTCTAAAGAAGGCATTCTGGTCAGTCTCCAAATAATTTTAAGCTCTTACTATTTCACCTCAGTTTGTGTGCAATTTTCGTAAGTTTGCTGAACTACAAGTGTGATTGCGTTTGCAAGGGAAATATTCCTTCGTACTATTTGTAGTGGCGATCTGCACGCCAACACATTTGGTGTTTCGATGTTATAAAATTCTTTCACTTATGTTATGAACCAAATTGACTTTTCAGTAGTGCGAGAAGACCAAATCATCGATAAACTGGCATATGATATGCCCAAAATGGCCATTAATAATCTTTTAAGACTTTAAGAGCGTCAGATATTCTGGTAGAACACGTCTATACAATTATTAATTAAAAATGAGGTGCCTGGTTTCCTTTGGAATTCATATTCATATTGACCCAACTAGTAGTCATCTGGTGGATTCTAGGTGAATTACTTAGGAAATCCTGCTTGGGCAGTCAACTTACTGTATCAGATTTGGTGGATTCCAGACGTTGCAGTAGGTTGGGCGGGTAATTTGACCCAAGTGTGATAAAACTCGCGTCGTCCGGCGGGGCCTCGTAGCTCAGGTGGTTAGAGCGTTGGCTGTACTAAAGCCTTCCCCCTTACTGCGTGGGTTCGAATCCCACCGAGGCGCCGAGTTTTTCACAGTTGGGTCAATATGAATGATTCAAAATCTGCCAAAATATCAATATCAATCGTTTGGAATTATCAAACTTTGTTCGCATTATGCAGCTGCATAGCATGAATTCAAATGCCTTCATCTATATTTTGTATTTCTTTTTCCAGAAAGGCATTTTTTAGATCTTATTAGCTCTAAAAGGCGGCTTCCTTATGTATTTACAGGGCGCAATCGCCCGAATTTGTGTTTTGAGTTGACACATATGGTGCTAGTACTAAATATCCTTTCTGTTGTTGAGGCTGCAATATTAACTACATTTCGTCCTCTGTCCTCCAGATAAAACATTGCGTCATAAGGCGTGTAGCCCAGCTGAAATAAAGTCCCAGTACACCTTTTAGCCCGGAAAAGAAAGAGGGCACTTGGTGTTTGATAACGTCACAAAGCAGTTATCACAAATGCTCTATAAAGTGTCACCTGACAAAATCCTCTTATTTATGACTAAAGTGGAAACATTAGCGCCGCATTAAACGGGCGAGTGAGGTAGCAAATGCCCCGTCGTATAAACAGTTTACACACACCAGATGTTTTAAAAAGCAACTTTATACACTATGATATTGTTAATATTCTAGTAGTAGCCTTTAATAATCGACCTGTGTCAACTAGGATTCACTATACATATGTCCTTTTTACAACAAAAGGCGTCGACTGTGGTCGTAATGTTTTTCTTAAGCAGACTTCAAGTCTGTCAAACGCTTTGCTCTCGTACACACAACGCTTTTGTCGGCAGCCTTCGAGTTAATTTTGCAAGGCATCTGGAGCGGAGAGCTGGTTTGTAGCCGAGGTTCTAACGACTTTAGGAGGTGTTGGTGTAGTTTACAAACACAGCCTGCTGCGCAGCTTCAACCTGAGGTACGAATTTGTCTGATTCACTTTGGCCTTGGAGCTGAACGCTCTTAGGTGGCCACTGTGTAACGCGGAAGCACACGAAGGCCTCAAACTACGCACATAATTAACACTCATAAGACCTCAAAAGGGCGGAAAAACTTAAAGACGAGACCCGACTATGCCGCCGTTTAGTGCCGCTCGCCAACCTTATTGCAATTCCATGCAAATTAACTGCCTACACGACCTAAAGCGCAGCCTTTAAAAGGCAAAAGGGGAATTGTTTGAGGCAGTGGGCCGTGGTGGCCTGCTAGCTGGCATATGCATTTGATGTAGGTAATTTTTTTAGAAAAGTGTATGTCTATTTGGTAGTGGAGGCGCATTGCTTTTCTTCTCGCAAACAAGGCCATAATTCCCGGTTCGCGAAAAAAATACCAACTGACGGGACGTTTCTCCGCTGCATCCTTAATATCAACATGAGTTTGAAGTAGACCATGTTCACGAATAAGGGACGGATGATTATGCTCCAGATGTATCTACGAGTAAGGTAGAATAGGAGGTTTATCGAGTACCGGGACCATTTCTATATGTCCGAGTTTAAAGACGCGTACCGGAGTCCATTCTCAGAGATGACAGTATCTCTAAAGGACAAGTGACTGTTATAGAGCTTATTTCCCAATTAACGGCCAGTATTACGAGTTCGAATGTGACTCTGTGTGCGGACGCTAGATCAGTACATTGGTCGATTGCATTCGTATCAGAGACCTAGGCTTAAATCAACTCTCGGCTTGTCTTGCTTTCGACACTGCCAATTATCATCATGTCTACGAAATTCAATTCATGGTCAGTTTCGAAGGTGTGGACAGCCAAATGTGCTAATTCGGCCCTCTGTCGCACAGCCATCTTCTGCCTATATGTGCGCAATCCGGCAGTGCGTTTAGCCTGACGTGCGTAATTAAACAGGTTGGTTTACCGGCTCAGAGAGTCGGCTAGTGCGTGGAAGAGGAGAGTGAGAGCGAAAGCAATCCTGGTCAATCCATCCGCACGGCACTTTAGAGCATCCCTCACTCTGGTAAATCTGACACATACTGAAACTCTCACGACGCGCTAAAAGTCGTGGCTTGGAAGACTGCCAAGTGGCAGGGCAAATCGATTCTCTCAAACAATACTGTGTGCATGTGGGGTAACTAGCTCAAAGACTGCAATCCAGATTCAAAGGCTCCTTGGCACTCTGACTGAGATGGGATCCGAACCGCCTCCTTCTCTTTGTGAAAACCTGGGCCACTGCGCTAGGACCGGGTCGTGTGTTGCGGGTGCTCGGCGCCCTGGCCGCTGCGCGTCACATTTGCTCTCGGGCTCGCGTGCAACTTCGAGCACAATGAAAATTAACCAAGTTGTTCCTGTGCTTGAGCAGCCTCCTTCTTTTTTATTCATAGACAAAGCTAGTTGGGCACGGAAATACCTGTATGATATAAGTTTTCGAACCTGTTTCCCCAGCTCGTAGTCAGACTTATGAACAATGTATACAAGCACTTAAACGCTGCCACATCTAACGACAGATTTAGTGGCTGTATGAACTTTGTGCCAATAGGCCATCATGACATTCGGCTACCAGGTGGGGTGAGGTAACTGTGTCAGTCTCCGCTGATTCTTGATAATATTGTACGTAGTTTTTAAATGAGCATGCCTACTGATGCATATCTTGTCTCAGTACACCGCTTCTAGAAACTCACTGATACGTGTTTAGGCAGGTGCCAGTGGTGAGCGTTTTCCAACTTGCAAGCGCGTACCTTTTTTCTAGTGCGTGCATGAATACCTGAAACAAACTGCCTTGACTCCTCATCATTAGCTGCTTATCACATATACCGCAGATGCGGGTTTTTAGGTTTGGCCGCAGTAGATTGCATCATAGCTGGCGCGTAGAATTTTACGAATGATTTCCTCTCTATCGATATTGCCATAGGATGTATACGTTGGATGCGTAAGGTAGTCATAAGTCCGTATGCTACCTGCGTCCGGTGTTTTTTGGCTGACTGCCGACTTTGCTATTTCCCAAAGAACTTGATCTATTCCAGCACATGCCCACTAATAAGGCGTCGCCCGTACACTTTTCTTTGGCGTTGGTGTTGATGCTTGTGCCCAAGCAGAGTCTCACTTTTTTCGCTTCCTTCCTCTATCTCTTCTTAATTGTGTTTAGGGTTGCCATAGCTTTCCCACCCCAACACCTATTTAGCGTTCCTTCGGTCCCTTGCCAAGACAACGGTGAAACAGCAAGCCTGACAACAAAAGGAAACGAATAGTCCGCATGCATGGGCACTTTAGCGGCTTGCCAGGTGTTGCGCCTGTCATGCCTGACATCACTACCGTCTCCTTTTTCTGACGTCACCAGTGGAGGTGAGGGTGGGGATGTTAGAACACGGTTCTCGCAACCTCCAATTTGAAAGTAACATCCAGTCGGCTATTACGCCTGCGTTTTCTCTCCTTGCCCTCAGACTGGTTAAGGTTTTTAGCTACGTCTGCCTACGTTCACGAGACCACCCGCATTATTGGCATGCTCATTCCATTCGCTCTTTACCCTTGACCTTTGAATTCGATTTTTAAGTGTGCTCGGATAAGCGAAAGTTGGAAGGGTTGATCTTCCGAACTTTGCGTCATTTCACTCATTTTTTTCTGTTAGACTCTCACATTAACGTCCGTGTTTGCCTAGTGAGACCAGTCGTTTCTGGATCGATCGTAGCTCAGTTTTCGACGCTATCGTTTGAACAGCCATGCCCTGTCCAACTTTCCGAGTAGGTGTGTGGTGGAAATTGGAATTCAGACCGGCCATGAAAATTCTGTTAGCTGCAGATAACGAAATGTATGTGTTTAGCTAATTCACTGGAATTTTCTTACTCTTCTCGCAATCGTATATTTATCTTTTGCGGCACTTACATCCGACGACTTCCTCAAAAAATCATTTCTAACCATCTCGCTCATGACCGGTCATATGAACAACAAACACAGTTACTGTTTTCTGTCCGACGAAAAGAAGTCTTACCACTTCCTGTTGTACTGCAAGTGTGCAAGAAAATGTAGCTGATTTCCTTTAAATATATAACTACTGTAGGTGACGTTTAAGTGCTCATGGCATAGCAAAAACCCGTCATCATAGTTTGACCACCACAAGTAAGGAGGTCTGACACTGTTTCACGAAGCACTCGTTATTTATTTATAGTGGGGCAGCCTTGTTATGCATTTACTTAATCTTTTCTTCCGCATTCGCCACAGTCCGATGAAAGATCAAGTCGGGAAGATCGAGCCCGTATGTGGGTGCAGCGGTCAAAAGGTCTGCAAGCGTGTGCTACGCCAGTATCATCAAACCGTCGCCATCTCGGTCTGGTACGGGCTGGCAGTTCCCTGCCGGTAGATGCGCTTGCGCTCCTGCTGGGTATGCAAGTGGTAGGGATGGCTGCCCGGTCATCAACCTTGTCCTTCTAACTTCTGTTGGGGTGATGTTGTAGTTGCTGCTCAAAAACCTGGTCATTTGCTATGGGGGGCCAGGGGGATGGAGTGGAACGCGGACGTGCAGGCTCGACCGCGCCATCCACCTCCGCCCTCCACCGCCTCCGGTCTTCTTGACTCTGTCTTGACACCGGATGCAGTTGGGAAATGGGGAGGATAGACTGCGGTAACTGCTGCGCAAGTCCACTATCACAATAAATTAATTCACGTACAAGTCACCGTGTCTGCTTCACCTTTCAGTGGAGCACGCGGTGGACATCGCCGGCACCGACGGTAGAACTGTCGAGTGCGGTGGTGAACAAAGTTAGACTACATGTGCCACACACAACGTGGTACTTAAAGCCACGTTAGTCAAGATTCATGTAGGGACTCTTACGGTAGTCCAGACTTCGGACCACTGTTCACAGGGGTAACAGTCATTTCAGTTCCCTTTCTAATCGTTTTCAGATCACCGGTATTCTTCTACAGGGTCGTGGCGACGGCCGTGAGTGGGTGTCCTCGTTCACTGTCTCTTTCAGCAACGACGGCAACTTCTGGACAGCGATACTTGACCAGTACGGGAACGTACAGGTAAGCAACATCTAGATGTTATTGCCACAGTTTCACCCAAGACTGTCCAGTAGGACGGTGATTCACTTTCACGAAACCGCGTCACTGCAATGTTACCCGCTACTTTTGCAGAGAAAAGTGTATAAATACGTCCTGCTCATCATAATTGAGCAAATCGCCCTTTTAAAATTGACATCAAATGAACTGTTACACATGGAGCCAATTAGTCCTACAATGAAGGAAACATCGCTGATAAAGCGTAACTTCACATGTTAAATCAAAAGAGCGACGTCTTATTGCCACTGTGCTAAGTACAGTAGGTGGACTAACCCATGAAATGTCAACAGAAATTCCGAAATGCGTTTTCGTTTCGAAAAGATTAATTAAGTAGGGTTGTAAAACTAATCAGTCTGCAATATAATTCTATAATAATTCAGTTACCTCAGGATGCCGACTTTCGAAAGAAATTATTTTGGTTGCATGCAAAACCTATATCCTGTAAAAATGACTTCTTAAGTAGCATGAATTTTTCTTATTGATTTTCGATGCCCCTAACTGTCCAAATATATTTCATGGAAAACATACACAAAAATAGTTATTCGGTAGAAAACTACATTTTATTTCAGGTTTACACTCAAAGGAGGAATATAATTCGGTTTTAGAAAAGTTTCTAATTGTGGAACTTTTAAATACGTGAAATGGCCATTCATAAATCGTCATGTCTCTGCATTTATCAATGTGGCCTGTAAAGTTAGCAAATATGGATCAAATCCATTGTTAAATTCTATGAACGATATAAGGTCCCCCTTTTACCATAGAGAAATGTGTGGTTTTCCGTACGCGGAAAGTATACGGCTTGTAGTTTCGAAACCCTGAATCCAAATGTAGCGGTAGAGCGGGTTCAAAATTATTCGGGAATTGGAAACGTTTTTAAAAACCAAATTATATTCTTCCTTCGGGTAAACAATTAGAAGAAGACGTAATTTTCCACCGAATGAGCAAAAGAATGAATATTTTATGCCTGTTTTCCATGAAATGTAATTGGACTTTTAGGGGCATCGAAAAGCAATGAGAAAACTTCATGCTAATTAAGTAGTCATTTCTTAAAGAATGTGCTTTCTACATGCGACCGGAAAGAAGTTTGTTCTAAAGCCGGCATTCTGAGGTAATTGAAATATTATAGAATTATGTTGCAGGCTGACTAGTTTTACAATCCTACTTAATCAATCTTTCCGAAACGAAAACGCATTTGGGAATTTCGGTTGGCATTTCCTGAGTTAGCCCACCCCCTGTACATTCATCACCTTAGGTAAGAAACGTTAGCGAGTGGTTCGTAATGCCATTTTCAAACCCGAGGCCTTCAGTTAAAACTCACTTATCATTGAAAGAATTGCACTTACTATGCGCTTCTTATTACTTCCAACGCCTATATCTAAGCTTCCGCGTACGGACGCTGCGTCCTTTTCAGAGGACTGATTTTTATCGCACGCCCACACAAGCGTATATATGACCATCCCAGTGTCCGCTTGTCCTTGTCAGTGTCCCCTCCTACTGGGTTTTGTGTGAATGCCTGCGAGAACACTAGATTGAGGTCCAAGGCGCAACGGGGACAGTGTGTCCCACAACTTGATCGGTGAACGCCCATCTCGCCGTATTATGCATGCACACCCAGCTGGCGCATTTGAAGGCTCCCTGGGCGGCAGGCAAACCTCATAACTCAAATTCCTAATGAACACGAAAGCAATAGCTTAAGCTTTCACGAGACAGATATCGTAATCATGGGGGGGGGGGGAGTTGAGACACTCGTTAACTGCATTTGGAAAAGCGACAATGACTTCCATGGTTCTAGAATAAGTCCCGAACAAGCTGGATACCAACAGAATTGGGGGGAATGGGCATATGGCAAGTGACTTTTTCTGGGCATCATGCCTAATGCTAACACACACACTCCGCCGAAGCGTTTGTCATTCAGAGAAACTCTGAGGTGAATGACGCCTGCCACAAAATCACCAGCTTTTCTCTTGACCAATATACATGGTGCCTTATTAACGCAGTTAACTGACTGCCGGTTTTGGGCGTCATGGCTAACGGGGCATGTTCGTTAATCTTTTAAACATTTGAAGTTGTTAGCTATGAACAGTAGGTGGGCTAACTCATGAAATCTCAACAGAAATTCAGAAATGCGTTTTCGTTTCGAAAAGATTGATTAAGTAGGGTTGTAAAACTAGTCCGCCTACAGTATAATTCTATAATGTTTCAGTTACCTCAGGATGCCGGCTTTCGAATGAATTTCCTTTCAGCTGCATGCAAAAACTACACTCTGTAAAAAATGACTACAAAAGTTGCAGGAATTTTTCTCATTGATTTTCGATGTCCCTAAATGTCCAATTATATTTCATGGAAAACATGCATAAAAATATTCATTCTTATGCTCATTCGGTAGATAATTACGTCTTCCATTAGGTTTTAAAAAAGTTTCCAATTGTGAGATTTTTAAATACCGTGAAATGGCCGCTCATAAATGCTCATGTCTCTGCATTTACCAATGTGGCCTGTAAAGTTAACAATATGGATAAAATCCATTGTTAAGTTTTGTGAACCCTATATAGTCCCCCTTTATATCCGCAGAGAAATGTGTGGTTTTCCGTATGCAGAAAATATACGGCTTGTAGGTTGAAAACTCTGAGTAGAGCGGGTTTATAATTATTCGGGAATTGGAAAAGATTTGAAAACCGAATTATACCCTTCCTTCGAGCATAAAATTGGAAGAGGGCGTCATTTTCTACCGAATGAGCAAAAGAATGAATATTTTTGTGCATTTTTCCATGAAATATAATTAGACATTTAGGGGCATCAAAAAGCAATGAGGAAAATGCATGAAAATATGAAGTCATTTTTACAGAATGTAGCTTTTGCATGCATCCCGAAGGAAGTTCATTCAAATGCCGGCATCCAGAGGCGACTGAACTATTATAGAATTTTGTTGCACGTTGACTAATTTTACAAGCCTACTTAATTAATCTTTTCGAAACGAAAACGCATTTGGGAATTTCGGTGGACATTTCATGAGTTAGCCCACCTACTGTAGGTAGTGCGCTCCACTGCCGGAATACGATATAAAGCAAATAAGGCAAACCTTGCCATTTGGGGTCCCCTGTCTTTTTCGGTGTCACCAGTCAAACGGCTGGTATTCGACGCCAAACATGGTTAGACTTCCAGTCTTTAGATTAAGAGTGCTACATTTTAAACCAGTGTGATATGAACAAGGGGGGCGCGGCCTAATTACCTCGCCCGTACTTCTGTTTAAGATTATAAGCAGTGGCGCGCGTCGAGATGTTCTGCTTGTGACATGTTTGAGCGGGTTGTGCTGGAGTTTAGGTTTGACTGCTTTTAGACTATAGGAACAAAGCGTAAAACAAAGTGAACACGCCCGAAAGGCGAATAGCAACCCGTTTACTCTAAAGCTTCTGATTGATGGAAGCGCCTTCTCATGCTTGCTTTTCAGGTTTTCGATGGGAATACGGACTCGTTCCAAGTGAAGCACGCTTACCTCGACTACCCCGTCATAGCCCGTTATGTGCGCATCCATCCCTTCGCATGGAACGGACACCCCAGCATGCGCGTTGAACTTATCGGCTGCCAGCGTAAGAATGTTTTAATGAGCGCGAATTTAATCAACCGAATGAGATAGGGGTATATAAAACTGTCACCAATATTCATGTTCATCCTTCTGTCACTATCCCTTGTTATGAATCTACTGTAAGCGTTTTCTCCTTCGAGCTCCAAAAAGTTCAATTAAAATTGCAGAGACTACTTAATAGGGAACATTTTACTGATTTGATTAGTAAGGCCAAATGCGATATGCGAATTTAGTCCTTTCACCACTAATTCATTGCAAATTCAGTGGGCATGGCGTTTACAAAAGGGTTCATTTGGTGAAGCTTATTTACTTCTAAACATTATTGGCTAATTCATTTCCGTTAACATATTCATGGTTAATAGAGTAAATCCGTCAAAAATCTTATATTTAAACAGAATCTGACGGACATATGATTGAAGACATTCACATTTAGTGCACTTTGATGCTGGAATTGTAAGAGGACGCGTCACAGTGAAGGGGGAATTAAATTAATAAATTACTGACCTCGTCGCGAGTGTCTTTTTCCATATTCAACCCATTCTTAAGTTGCCTCATATATATTTTCTTTTTTGTACTCTTTTTTCTAAGATTGCTGACTGTGGACAATAGAATAAAGTAAGAGACGACCACATGAGGGAAATTCCAAAATTGCACTTACGCATGGTGTTAACAGACGCTTACTGTAAACCATAAAGACTCATTAAAAACAACTGAGCAGGTCTGTTCAGTCCCCACGACACCAAGGTAGGAGTTAAAATGTGCGTTGTAACATATTTGAGGTTTATTAAAAGAACTGGACATAGTTGGGTGTCCGTGAAACGCGCATTGTTGGGGATGTTCTGGAGACTAGTTTTGCTGTGAGGCCTCAAGCAAAATCAAAGAGAGAGATCTTCTTTGACACTAGTCCAGTCGCTTCAGCAATTCGGCATTTTAGGCCTCAACAAGCGTTCACTAATCGAGATATGTGACGTAACACTTGAAAATCAGTAGTTTGTCCTTTTTTATGCATTTAGCTGCTGTAGATCAAAACACAGTTCTTTCGGTGCACTTTGGGCAAAATAGGATTGGGGCTGTCAATTGCGAGCATTCTGTTGTGTATGTAGAGATTCTGGAGCCAGATACGCAAACAATTTTCGAAAAATGTCTGAGAACTAGGAGGATTCTAACCAAGGATATTTTAAGTAAATACTTTAACATAAGGTAGTTTTTGTCGCAGAAAAATTGGCAATTTTTCAGCCACCTCCGTCATAATGAACAGCCCATGGCTTTTCATTGCAGCCTGTAAACAGTTACTCGGAACCCCACCCTACGCCCGGTATGCAGCATCCTCGACTCGAAATAAACGAAACACACGTTCCTGTAATCCCGAAGATGGCCACTACTTGAGCAACAGAGCATGGTGTGCAAAACGCCAGAACGGTGAGTCCTTGTTGATGGTCTCATCAATTTCGATCCAGACTTCTCCACTACTTGCTATTGAACATATCATAACCCCGGATGCGTTCGATTTCCTTGGTGTCGTTTAAAACTTTTGCAAGTGATTTTTCTATTAGAAGAATATTTTTTGTGTGAGCAAAACTTGGTGCGCTATCGAAATGGTTGATTGAAATTATTTCAACACAGTAAATGTTACGAGCCGTCATTACGATATAGCGGTCCGTGCTACTCGCCTTGACAATCGTTTTGAGCTTTTGTTTTCACTGTCATTATGTTAATCGCTGCTAGTATATACCTCTTCATCGAAGCCAGATGACCTACTGCTATATTTTCACCCGCAACACTTTTACAACGTAGACTCCGAACGACATAAAAATCTCTGCCTTTCTGTTAAAAGGGAGTTGTCTTAAAATTCTGGGTATACATTCGAGGTCCGTTTAGTTAAGCTGTGCGGAGACTCCAGTGGTAGACGGCTCATTCAGATGAGCTTTCCGACCTTGGCTTTCATTCTATCTTGCGTTTTGTATTTAGTTATTGATTTTCAATATCTCCATTAAAGTGGGATGGTAGGATGCACGAATCAGTCTGTCGGTAAATTATAGAAGCTCAAAACGCACGTAACCGTGCTATCTCATGCAATGTTATCTGCAATTCAAAAAGTTGACTTCAGTTATAGAAGTCTACTTAGGTAGGGTCATGAAACAAAGTGTCGCGCGGCACAATCACAAGATAAGTCAGTCACGTCAAGATGTCGGCCTTTACACGAATTTTTTCTCGGCCGCTTGCAGAAACCTAATTTCGTAAATGATGATTACTTGAGCAGTATGAATTTTTCTTATCAGTCTTTGTTACCGTTATAAATTCCAACACATTTTATAGAAAACATGCGCAAAAATTTTCCTCTTGTTCTCATTTGGTAGCATATTACGTGTTCTCTGGATTTTTTGCTTGACAAATTAGTATCCTTTGGTTTCACAAAATCTTATCAATTTCTGAATAATTTTGAGACTGACCTGCTTTTTCCCTGTATTCAGGGCTCCCAGACTACAAGGTTTATATCTTCTCTGGAAGAAATCGACATTAATAAATAGGCGAATACGATACTTTATGGGTAGACATTTAGCGGTTTTAAGAAATCTCATAATAAGAAACTTGCTTAGAAGAGAATAACACCTCTTCTTCAAGTATTAGATTTGAGTAAGACGTAATTTTCTACAAAATAAGCACAAAAAGAAAAAGCATTTTTGAGCTTGTTTTGTAAAAATTACACTTAGATGTGAAAGAACACAAAAGCCTAATTTAAAAATTTCGTACTAATTGAGTAGTCATTTTGGCAGAGTATAGTTTTTGTAAGCGGCCAAAGAGAAGTTCGTTCAAAGGGCGGGATCCTGACGTGATTAAAGCATGTTGAAATTATGCTGTGCCACGATTAGTCTTACGAAAATACATGAGTCATGTTTTTAAACCGAAGACGCACTTCAGAATTTCGGTTCAACTTTCGTGAGATAGCAAATCTACTGTAAGTTCAATCACGAATTTCTCAATGTGATGGCGATCCTCAAATCATATCCAAAGACTGCTAAATGTCATTTTCCGCTAACGACGCAACGCTTCCCGTGAAAGTAAACTCCTCCCCGTAGCTCACTCTCAAACATAAAAAGCACTTGCCTTAGTCAACCTTACTTAAATAAATCAGTACTTTTGCCTCTCTGGTCGGACATAAGGTTTATAATTGCGATTTTAGGCTTCCACTGTCTTTTGAAGAGTTTGTCACAAGTAGTTCCGTAATTTTTATTCATTTAGGCAGTTCTAAGGAACAAATATTTACTTTGGACTTTGTAAAGCAAATGTTGCCACAGAAGTGACAATGGAATTTGTTGAGGATACTCGTTGGATTGTACCGAGGAACTGAATTAATGATTTTCGCATAACCAATGCTGGATCATAGGACCACTCTTGAATGGTTGTCATCAGAGCAGTCATGCTCATAAATGCATTACTTAAATAAGGGCACCACTGCTAAAGTATTGTTTCAAGTTCTCGCGTTATCCAGTTCGCTGGTGTATTCGTTTCCAGGTCTATGTCGCCATGGATATGTTAAAATACCTGCGGTCCGACTAGACTACGGTTAAAATACAAAGTGCTATTTAAGGTTTCGACACTAGTTGTGCACGTTTTGCTACTTATATGTACCATGTAAATGAAGATGCGGTATCAATTATTCATAACTGAATTTTCATGGCTGCTGGCATCCATGGTTACAGAACCCAGTTAGCACTAAGATATTAAGCATAATATTAGCGCTTTTTATCGCAGACAGTGAATACTGAAAGTCACGAGACGACCTGGTCTTATGATAACCTGTAAATGAGTATGATAAAATGAGTATGGGAAATATGCGCTCCCTTTTGTAGCTAACAAGTTTGTCTGTTTGCCTTTTACACAAATGACTCTATAGGCCTATGTGCCTATGTTCGTATTACGCGCCGCTGTGCAGCTGCTGATTGGGCTACAGAGAGAGCCCTAAGGGATATCAAGGTGCCTAGAGGTGGTTTCGGCATCTTCTCCACGCGTCCACTCTTCGTCTGCAGCACTAAAACTCTTAATTCTGCGCTTCCCAGGCCTACGCAAATAGTCGGTATTGTTTCCATAACCCCAAACACCAAAACTGGTGGTAACTCAACTAACAAAAGAAATTAAGTTAAGGGACCGCGCATACAGACTTAATCTGACGGACATATGGCAAGAACATCTGATAAGATTGAGGTCCACATCTGTCGTCCCAATATAAAAAATTTAATAATCTACCAGCACTCAAGGTTAATTTTAAGGCACTAGTTACCGCGAATGGCCAGTGGAGACGCCACTGGAGATGGATACAAGCATCAGCAGTGTCTACAATGTATCTGTTGATAGCCAAAGGATACCGACAGTTTCTAAACTGTCGATGGCAGCTGAAAAAAGAGCTCAGGATACGACCTGAAAAGAAGGCTCGATAGCCGCAGGAAGAATTTAATTTGTCTGACGTCTCAGATTCACACTCAAACCCATAAACAGAGAAAACTGCAGAGGACAATGATGGATGTACAGGAATCGAAGTTCTCATAGGGTGCAGTTAGCGTGCAACCACATACCTGTCAAAATTAAAAGCTCCTTCGTCCATCGCTGATGGATGTACTCGGTTCGATGATGACTTGATCACTCACATCCAAGTCGCTAATGGCAGCGATTGCATCATCGGTGTTGGCTAATGGCATGATAATTATTCGGAAACTTGGCTTACGGACATCATTACTGTGTCCAGGCAAAATATTGGGACTGAATACGGATGGGGAGAAGATCATTGTGCTTGTCAATAAACTGTTGACTGCCAATTAGGACTGAGGCGGCTCGCGGCTCGGACGGTTGTCATCCCTCGCGCAAAATCTTGGCTTTCGTTAAATTTGGAGGTATGGCTCGGTCCCGTTGACTGATTCACGACCGCAAAACTGGTGCTTGCTGGCCATCAACACTAATTGTAGTTCACAAAAGTTTGGAAGGAGAAGATCGATTGCCGGAGAAAGAATTTAATTTGTCTGGCGTCTCAGATTCACACTCAAACCCATAAACAGAGACAACTGCAGAGGACAATGATGGATGCACAAGGATTGACTAATTACTGTGTCCAGGCAAAGTATTGGGACTGAATACGGTGGGGGAGAAGATCATTGTGCTTGTCAATAAACTGTGAACTGCCAATTAGGACCGAGGCAGCTCGCGGCTCGTACGGCTGTCAGCCCCCGGCGCAAAATGTTGGCTTTCGTTGAAAGCCAGCGACGTGTCTACATTTAAATTGCATCTTGGAGCTCATCTTTTCACTTTCATCGGCAATTCTTCCTCGCTTTGTACTCTGACTGACTGGATGGTGGGAAAACTTTTCCCTTTCGTGAGGCCTCTACCGACGCATGAAAATGTAGGTATTGTGCCATGAAGCTTCTTTTGACATAGCTGATGCTGATTTCCACGTGATCGCAGTGATTGAGTCGGAACTCACGAAGACGGAATCGACCACAACACAAGGTTTCTGAGTGGGAATAAATCTGAAGCGTGTTCCGAGCGAATGGCTACTCGTGCAAATTTGTCAACTGGCGCATGCCAAAACAGCACAAGAGGCCAAATCTAACAAATCCCTAACGTTGGAAAAGCGTTCCCAAGCACCAGCTTTTGGGTTGTGAACAACTCAGAGGGACCGAGCCATACCGCCAAATTTGACGAAAGCCAACATTTTGCTCGAGAGGTGAAAACCGTCCGAGCCGCGAGCTGCCTCAGTCCTAATTGGCAGTCAACAGTTTATTGACAAGCACAATGATCTCCTCCCCTTCGTATTCAGTCCCAATACTTTGCCTGGACACAGTAATTAGTCACTTGGGAGCGCGAGGCAAACGCTGCATCCAGCGCCAATATTCGTAAGCCCTGTTTCCGAATAATTATCACTCCATTAGCCAAAGTCCGGTGATGAAATCGCTGCCATTAGCGACTCGGATGTAAACGAGCAAGTCATCATCGGACCGAGTACATCCATCAGCGATGGACGAAGGAGCTTTTAATTTTGACAGGTATGTGGTTGCACGCTAACTGCACCCTATGAGAACTTCGATTCCTGTACATCCATCATTGTCCTCTGTATTTGTCTCTGTTTATGGGTTTGAGTGTGAATCTGAGACGCCAGACAAATTAACGTCTTCCTCCGGAAATCAATCTTCTCCTTCCAAACTACAAGTATTGTTCTGTTCAGTTGTGCTAAGATGTCAGCGGAGTCAAGTCTGCTTTGTTTGCACTACTGGAAAGTAGATGTAAGCTCACCTAATGGATTCCCTGTTGCAGACTACTGGGACAATTTTTCTAAATTGCATGTTCTGCTTTCCTCTTTGTCATTGTGAATAAGTGAACTATTCTTCACTCCAACTCTCGGAATGTTCTGTGCTGGCTAAGTTTGCCACCGAGTTGTAAGGTCACCAGTCGCCTATGTCAGCTTACTTTATGTTTCTTTCTGGATCCCCGGCAGCCATGCAGTGGTTCCAAGTGGACCTCGGCCCTCCAACTCTGGTGACTGGAGTGGTGCTACGCACACGTGGAGATGGCAAGTGGCCCCAGTACGTAACCCACTTCAAGGTCTCCTACAGCAATGACAGCAAGCTGTGGTTCTTTTACAAGGATGCCCCACACATGGAACAACATGTAAGACGACATAGACATTACCACGTGAACTTTAAAAGTCAAAACGTTGATTTTGCTGAGTAGTAATCAAACAGGGCACAAAGTTGGAAAAATATCCACCCATAAATTAATAAATCTTTATTTTTTAATCTTCACATCTGCTGATTGAAATGCTGTATGATAGCAATTTGTGAGACTGCTGTAACCTGTTTAATATGACTTCATGTTTGAATGCAGTTCTTGCTGCCGGCTATGACAAAACCCTGGCAGTTGACTTTTTATTCCTCTTTCCTCCTATGCGAGTGAAATCTGAACCTTTAGTAGTTATTGGAAGTTGTAAGAAGGTAAAACAGATCATCGATGTGACGAACCAGGACGATCTAAAATTGTGCTTCATTATTATTTTCGGTTAGCTCGCAGTTGGTAGCCAGGAATGGGGAAGCGGACAGCGACCTTAACCGTAATCCTGACCATAACCCAAACCCTAACCTTAACCTTAAACGTTGACCGGCAACCCTAACCGAAATCTTAAACGTAACCGTAGCCCTTAGACACAACCCCAACTGTAAAATCTAATCGTAATACTAAAGCCTAATCGTAAGCTAAAACCCTAACCGTAACCCGAAAACCTAAGCCAAAAGGGCATAACCCTGGTCCCAAAAATCGGACAACACTAACTGATACCCTAATCCTAACCTCAAACGTAAAACGGAAGCCAAATGGGTCAGATTTGATCATGTAGCCCCACAAAACAGCCCCAGTAAACAAACCCCCAACCACCTATAATACGGGGCCTGGCTACCAACTGCGATCTAGCCTTATTTTCCATCCCTGCCTGTCCTCACATCTATTTTGGTTTCACAGCAAATTCGCACAAGGTACACACATTAGTCTTACTTGACAGTTGGTCGTCGCCCTTTAGGACTATTTTTTTGTTTATTTCCTTGATGTCTTGGTCTTTGTTCCGAACGTAAGAATGTTTGAATACTTTTCTTTTAAGGACAAACAAAGCGCCCTGAGTAACCTGTGCATAGTATGTGATTCATTGCTTGTCTGTCGATGGTATAGACTGGTCGAGAGTCCAATCAGGCCCCTAGTTAGTTCTGAGGAGGCAGTTAAAATTTTGGGCGAAGCATTTGCAACTTGATTATATTACCTGCAGGGCCTGAACAGAATCAATGCAGTTTTGGAAAGGCTACCTGTCCTTCTCATTCGGAAAGTTTTGGTTATTGTCGGATGTGGTCTTCAAAAGGCGGGTGCTTATGGACAGAACGCGCGTTTCAGTGATTTGTCCAAAAAGCTCCGGTCAAATGACAATTTCTGTTCCATTTGAGACCCCTTCTGCTCTTAGACAGGTTTTGCAGGATGTGACGAGAGCAGTAAGGTTTCGTTATTTGTGTGCTCCCCATAATTGTGCCCTATTTCTACAGGTCCGACCTTCAGTGCCTTTGCACTTCACCATTTCTGACTTCCTTCAGTTAAATTAGGTGGCCAGTGATGGATGTACAGGAGAACCCTGTGACCGCATGACAGTTCGACCGTCGATTCCGACGATGCCCACCGTGTGCTACACAGCAAGGTGCAGCAGACAGGGTGACTTGCGTGTGATTTAGTTTATAGTGACAGTGGACTTGCGCAGAATCTACCGCACTCTCTCTCTCTCTCCTACTTCCAACCTGGACCCGGTGTCAGAACAGAGCCAAGAAGACCGGAGCGGGGGGCTCATGTGGGTGGCACGGTCGGACTTGCGCCTAGGTGTGCCACCACACCCCATGGTCTACAATATACACCTTACCAACAACATCAACACCCCAACAGGGGGTCAGAAGGAGGAGGATGGCTGGGAAAACCATGATCACCACCTGTATACCCAGCGGGAGCACAAGCGCATCTACCGACAGGGAACCAGGTGTCAGGGAACTGCCAGCGCATACCAGGCTGCGGGGGGCAGGGTTTTCTGTGGTCGCATACAGTGCATTTCAAATTACGCACATCCTGCATCCATTACAGGGCGTGCGACAAATGCGTATTGGCACCGAATGCTAGTCGCATACAATACTCACTACTAACTGGCCTAAGAAAAAACCATTAACTCGCGAGCTCCCTCGGAACAGAGGGGGAGGGGTCAGACGGCTGCTCTCATGAATTAGTTCTTCTTACTTTCGCAGTTTTTCAAATGAGGCTCATCAACAAAAAGCCAGAATGTTGCGCAGATTTCTTTTGCAAAATATCCATACTCAAACAAACAATGCAAAACTAACAAAACGCGCACATTACCCTGACGACTACTCCGTTCTCTAACCCATGGGATCTTCGAGTCTTGGTTATCACCGAATCTTTCATCTGAAACTAAGTTCCAAATACAAGATGTCAATTAGATTCGATAGCCTGCATTCTTCTGCAATACTTCTTAGATATTCCTTGGAAACTCACCGGCCATCCCAGAGAGAATACACTACTTGGCTGCCCCGGTGATTTCCCGCTTTGTTCGGATCCATCCGATCGCTTGGCACGGCAGAATAGCCATGCGTGTTGGCCTCCTCGGCTGTCGATACAAGGGACCCTGTGGGCCCGGATTTTTCCAAGTGAATGAGAAGAGCTCTTGTAGTAAGTTCAAAGGTCAAAAAGGTTTCCTCCATGCTTTGGGCCTCATTTGACCGTAAGTAGACTTTTCTGCTTACGTTTACTCACATTTTGAAGCCTTCTGAAGTAGGAGACTGCGTAGGCACTATCCGTTTTTCACGTTCCTAAGATAAGCTGGCACTTTTCTGATGTATCAATGAATGATTGCTGCTTTTCACACAAACCGAATTAAGCAGCGTCCGGGGTCTCTGCGGCACAAAACCAGTCCAGCGCACTATGACAAGTAATTTGATGGTTTAGACGTAGTCAAAATTTCTTTCAAAAATGTGCTTTACTCGTAATCTTTTCAAAGTACCTAAAAATGCCCTTAAAAGTATATTTGGACTCCTGCACGATAATTTGCGTTATTCAGGTGACCGCTGACTTGAAAAAGATTTTTTTTACCAATCTAGGATCTGAGTTGATCGGTGATCTGCCAAAGTGAGGTGTTATTCTTAAAAACATTGCTTCATTTCCACTATACGTGATTGCGTTGCCGGTACTTGCAACGAATGTTGTATGATTTGCAGGCCTTCGTATTCCTTTTGCTCTTTGTCTTCCACCGTCAAAGGTTAGGCTGTTAGATTATCAGCGGAAATTACAGTTCCTCTTTGCCCTAACAATGACTATGAACATCGCCAAGTCTATGAAGATAAGAGATTTGACCTGCAACTTTCCGAATCTGCCAGTTTACGCCATGTTCTACTTCAAGATGTGCAGCATGAATTCGAATCTCAGATGACGGGCAGTTCTATCGAGCTGACTGGTCACTGAGTGCAAGTTTTGATTCTGTAGGCGGCTTTAAAAAGTAAAATCATATTGCCTGAAGGTTTTATACTCAGCATCAATTCCTTTCTCGGTAAAAGTGGCGATAATGACGATTAAAGGCGCACTCTCAACGAAATAGGAGTATCGTGAAGACATGAAAGACTGGGGCATTCATCTCTGTGTACTAGTGCTTCTAACTGCCCTCAGTAGCCTAGAGACGGAAGTGGACCATGATTTTTTAGGCGAATAATGCTCCGCCGAACCCGCAGATAACCTTAGCTGGTCTGTCCTTTGTGTGTCTTATGCAGTTGCCAATCTTGCATATAAGAAGGACGCATGGATGTCAAACAATCCCGATAACCCGCGAAAAAAGGAGATAGAGAGTCTGAGGCATTCTCTCTACCAACGTCCCCACTCTTCGCCTCCATCGCCCTCTCGCTTTCCCTTCAATTCCCGTCCACAGCAACAAAAGCAAACACTGATCACAACTCAGAGATTCTTCGACTCACAACATCAAGTGACTTCACTTCCCCAACCCCCTCTCAATGCCCTTCAACTGGGCAGTGATGGTGGACTAGCCCAAACGACTCCAATCAGCGACTGGAAGCTGCATGACGTCATGCTTGGCGACGAGGGTTACGTAGTGAAGGATGAGGTAGCAAAGCGAGCGGTTGATGGCTTCGTGGGCGACGAAAAGGAAATCACCGGCGAAATGGCTACAGATGAAGGCGGCAGGGGAATAGATAGAGTCAGTGGCGATGGCACTTCGGGCAGAAAAGCGGAAGAGGCCCACAGGTCAGGTCTGCTTCTTATGAACGACTCGCCAAGCCGAGGGACAGAAAAACAAAGGCGGGCCCTCCGATCTGTTCCGAAGGAGGGTCGGCAGTGTACTATTCTTCGCTACGGCTGGCCTTACATGGAGACGCCGGGCTGGCATGTTGACCTGCAGGAATCGTTTGAGGTCAATGGTGTTGTTCTGTATACCGCCAGACACGGTAGAGGTAAGACTTTTTCTGTTAAGAGGTTATCCAGTGTGAAATGGTTCTGTGGTCGATTTTACAACTTGTTACAAACTTCTTGTTGGCTGACCGCGAAGACCACTCTATTTTCCCGCGCTAACGAAAAACAGCAGGTGGACAGGCAACGTAGCCAGTTTATTTTAGTGATTTAGCAATGTCACGGAGAGCCCGACTGCCTCCCCTGATTCCTACCCTGTGAGAAAGAAGTACTTTCAGTCGGATTAACACGTAATACCTACTGGATTACCCAGACTCCTGCACCCGATATCATAGACTTGAACATCATTCAGATTCCCGTAGGTCTGTCAGATAAACCTTCCTGGAAAGCTCTTGCCCGCACAAGTGACTTAGACGTACTTAGACCGCCTAAAAATTAGCGCTTTTGATCCTCAGCCATCTGCCGTTAGCGGGGTTGACTCTCTCTCTCTCTTCCAAATGCAAAATAAATATCAGTACTCAGAATTTCACGAACTAAATAAAGCCCCTGGCTCCTTTAAAGTCGACGATAGCAATTTCAGTTCTCTTGGCGAAGATATGTCGACTTTGTGATAACGTGCTTGTCAATTATACTTTGTTTTAGATATTCGTAAGTTGGTCGTTCATAGGATAAAAATCTGCATTTTTTTGCATATTCTTGAACTCTCTGAGTTTAGGCCCGCTCGGAAAAATAAAATAGGACTGCGAAGTTTGGAAATAAAAATTCTAGCGTTACTGTCACAAAAAAACATTCGTGCTTTCAAAAAACTCTATTGGTAGAGCAAAGCCTGTTATTGACGGAAACAGGCCTTGCGACTTATGCATTCTTGTGCTGCCAACTGTCTACTGGATGCGCACCGAGGAGCTTGTTTGATGCAAAAAAGAGTGCCACTCCCCGAAATCCTTGCACATTATGACAAAACTGGTCAGTGTACAGAAGTCAAACCATAAAGGGGGGGTTAGTCGTTCGCTTACGCCTTTGCTCTGCGCAGAGCCCGGGTCACTGTCTGTGAGCTGACCCCCGACTGCAAACCTCTCCGTTGCGTAAACTTGACCGCTAGGATCCACCTTTCTGCGCACATTCGCAAAAACAAGCAAGCTAAGTGCACAGTTTACGAGTTGACCTGCGACTCAAGAAACGGTTACTTTAAAGGTCTTTTATGAAGGGTTGTTGTCCGACATGCAACCTGAACTTGGAGGGCATATTCGGTGCCTATGTTAACAATGTTTTACATAGGGAGTTTAGAGTTGACATCTACCTACACGCATCTTTACTCAGGCAGACACTTTGCCCTTACGGTATGGGGAGAGCAGATGTGTATTTGCTTACAACCATCCCCTCGTGTCTCCACTTAGCATCAGCATGTTCAGTACTGCCATATGAGATTTGTTTTCCTGTTCGTGTTTAATAGTTAAATTTGACTGACCCGTTTGTGAGAAAGTCCCTGACCCTCGCGGGATTCGAATCCATGACAGAAAGTACAAGACTCCTGCGAGGCCTCTCGGTTGGGCATCGTAGCCCTTTCTAGTTTTGGGCGCCGTTGATGGCCCGAAATGTTCATGTATATCAAGGGGCCATAATAGCATTTCCTGTTGCGCGTATCCACTGTCCGTTGTCTTTCTGGATCAGTGAACAGTCTTTTGGTTTTCCGACCATTTCCCGATAGTGCTTTCCAGTACTGCCAACCTCTGCCGGTTCATTTACGGCGTTCTGTCGAAGTAATGTCATTAACCAAATCACAGCTCCTTGCGCAGTAACACATTGAAGCTATTTCTTCCGACGTTGACAACGCAACTGTCAGATTTCCTTGTGTGGTCATCGTAGACGTCTGTTTTAAAAGCCTTCCTCGAACTTTCCCCTAGTTTGTTTCGCCTAGTGACCTAGGTTGGATTGTCACAAGTGAAAACGGAACGATTTCAATTCCGTAAGAACCTTGTACATTTTCAGTATCTCAGGGATTTTAGGAATAGACAATTATCAAGTGTGAATCTCATCGATATTTGTTCATGTAAAGCCACTAGGTATACACAAACTGCTTACGTGAGAGTGCTTGAGAGTGACCAGACTTTTTCTTACTCCTAATGTCCACTGGACTGTCTCTTCCCCAAAACAGAATGGGGCCATCTGGACTCGATCACTTCCAATTAATCAAACGTTAGCTGCTGGTGCTATAGTTGACGTGACCGTCATCTATAGAATCCCCTATGAGGATTGTTTCTGGAACCCTGAAAATTCGAGGGTTTTCATAGGAAGATTAACTTAATGTAAGTATTTTGCAGATTTGCCTTCCCTTTATTATCCATCAGGAGGGGACCAAGGAGGTTTAATTGCTCGCAGCCTTCCGGACACACCGGAGGCACTGCTTCGGCGAAACAATCTGGATCGTCTGGTAGTCTACGTGGAGAACGATAACCCCGGGGAGGAGGGCGCTGGTGTTCACTCGGATGGCCGCGAGTTCTGTGGACAAGTAACTAGGCGCAATGATGCCGTCTTTTTGCCAAAACTACACATTGCCTGCCGACGACCAATCACGGGGCGCTATGTCTACGTGGAGGCCCACGGACTTAGGGGTGCATGGCCAAAGGAATTCTTGGCTGCACTTTGTGAAGTCCAAATTTATTAGGGTTTACAACGACTGCCTGGGAATCCAGGAAAGTGAATAGCTGGGGTCAGCGCCCTTATATCAAGCCCGAAAATTTTAAATAACTGCAAACTGCCATTTAAGTCCAGACCCCGTAGGTATTTGGCCTTTTTCCACACTTTACTGCCACAGCATATATTCAACATTCACTTGTTGGCAAATTTAGATGGTTCCTTTCCGTATAACATGCATACGCACATCTGCCCTCCTCCTCTGTAAAATGCTTGTGTCCATTGTACATTTTGTCCTTCTTTTTTGTCCTTTCTGAAGCAAGATGTTTTATCTGATGCGTGACAATAACTGACCTAAACTATATCAAGTTGTTTCAAGAAATCGCACTAGCACTGAGTTCCCACATACTTAAGTGTTGTAACGCCTGTCTCAATCGGTCACAAACTAAATTAACTGAACAACTCGAAAAACTGCATGAGAGATGGAAGCGAAACCGAAATCCTCTCATTTTGGGCGTAAACCAGACTAAAACTCAACCCTTCCATAACCCTAATCTGCCCGGAATTTAGCGCAGGGCAGCATGCATGGCTGAGGGAGTTCCTAGTCCCCTGTCCTACCAATCACAGCGCGGGGTTCCGATCCCCGTCTAGGCAATTCCTAACAAACGGCGTCCGGATAAATATCATTAACACCATAATCAGGCCTGCATAATTGCATGTAGGGCTAAAGATGCTTGGGTTGGGAAATGGCATCTGATTTGGTTTGATATTTTTGTTGCAAAGGTTGTGACGGAAGGGAAAAGTTATCTGATCTTCGAATATGTTCAATGTACGTCGGGTATTATGACTTAGAATGGAGGGCAGGAAAACGTACCCCTGAGAATCAGTGGAGTGGGGATAGCGGAGAAGAGGGATGGGGAAGGAGGAGGACAGAGGAACGCCTGGGCAGTTATCTCAAGTTGTGAACCGTGCGAGCGTCGTACCAGAGTAGACGTCGAGTCTGTACCCGGTTCTGTGAATTACGAACTGGACGCTTTTTACATGACGCTTCTTACGCGGTGATCTGGGTACTCTGTCATAGTGATCTCATGGCACTACTGTACTCTATAAAGTCCGGTGACAGTTTATCCAGAACTACCGTTAACCTATTTGTCTTCTCTGCAACTCTAGAAGTGCGATGGGTCGACAACTCGCAAAGGTTGTCAAATTGGAAGCGGGTGGGAGGACAGAGTTGGTTGGACAAATTCTGCTGAGGCGAAAGGGCGTACACGCAGCTCAGCAAGCAGTGGCAGCAAGTCGTCCTGGCAGGTGTGTGACCGCCGTGGAGATTGCCATGAAGTGCGTGCATGCGCCCGGACTTTGCCTGTCTGCAGCCAGTCAGCTAAGAACACAGCGTCGATTGCCCTCGAACCCTTGGTGTACTGGCACCAAATTACACGCGGCTCAGGCAAACGACTGACAGGAAACTTGGGCGGATAAGCGGACGCGCTGACGATCGAAATAGCTGACTACCAGAATAGTACTACTTAGGCAGTCTTTTTTTCATATATGCGCCAGTTATCGGTGACAGGTGAAACTTGGTAAAGTGCGAAGAACCTACAGTGCGTGACCGATCACATGAAATGTTGGCCAGAATTCTGAAATGCGTTTCCGATTAGGAAGGATTACTTAAGTAGGGTTGTTATACTTATTATCATGCAGCATAAGTCTATAACATTTCGGACTCGCCAGGATGTCGGCTTTTGAATGTACTTCTTTCTGACCTCCTGCAAAAAGCGCACTTGGGAAAAAATTACTACTTAAGTAGCATGCATTTTTACTATTGATTTTCGGTAGTCTTATAAATTCAAATATATTTTACAGAAAACATGCCCAAAAATATGCTTTCTTTTACTCGGTTGGTAGAAAATCCCATCGTCTTCACATTTTATGCCCGAAGAAAGTGTGTATCTAGGTTTTAAAAAAGTTTCCCAATTCCCAAATAATTTTCAGCCTGATCTGCCATTGCGTCAGCGTTTAGCAATTTCAGTCTACAAGGTGCCTGCTTTCCGCGTAAGGAAAATCATATATTCCTCTGCGTCTTTAAGAAGATACCACATAAATTTCGTGAACTTTTGCAATGGATCCAGACTGCGTTGTACATTTCATGAGGAGCATTAGTAAACGGACATGTGCGGTCTTGCATGCATGGACATCGCACAGTCCTAAAAATCTCATAATTAGAAACTTTTTCCAAAACCTAAATATACACTTTCATCGGACATAAAATATAAATACAATGTGATTTCCTACCACATGAGCAAAGGCAAACATATTTTGTGCATGTTTTCTATAAAATATATTTGAATTCATAAGACCATCGAAAATCAATAGGAAAAATGCATGCTGCCTAAGTAGTCACTTTTTACAGAGTGTGGTTTCTGCAGGAGATCAAAAAGAAGTACATTCAAAAGCCGACATCCTGGCGAGTCCGACAAGTTATAGGGTTATGCTGCATGATAATAACTATAACAACCCCACTTAAGTAATCCTTCCTAATCGGAAACGCATTTCAGAATTCTGGCCAACATTTCATGAGATCGGTCACACACTGTATATACCGTTGCAAGTTCTACAGATGACCAGTGATTTCCAACCACCAGAGCGCAGATTTTTTCAACCTGCTGACGCCCGAAAGCTGGGTAAATTAGCATGTTCCTCTGTGACCAAGCGATCCTCCGTCTCCTGTGCAGCATGACTTTTCCTGCTACTTCATTGTTTGTCTTTATACGAGGATGCTCTATGCCTACCGATATTCTACAACCCCATAAGTAATCCTTCCTATTTGGAAGCCCGAGGACGTGAGACCTGGAGACCATTGCACGTACATTTGAAATCGGAGAGGAGGCCCGACTGTCTCGGAAAATGAAGTGTTGGCGTTGACTGCAGGGGATCGGAGCGCGAGCACATGTGCGCCAGTGTGGGCTTGGCGAGCCGCGCTGACCTCCACTGTGGACACATGAGGAGCGCGCTGCACCCAAGCGCATGGTGCTGAACGCCTCCCCCTGCGTGCCACAGGAATTCAACACCAGACCCGAGGCAATTTGCTGTTTTTGCAGTGCGTGTGTGCGGCGGTAGGGATGGTGTTGGCAGTCGTACAACAACGATAAAGGCAGAATGACAACCCCAACAACGCTTGATCGCACCGTGCGACCAGCGCTGACACGGCGCACCCACTGACTCCTCGGAGGGCAGTGGTGGTGGTGGTAGTAGTAGTTGTGGCGGTGATGCGATCATGGTGGTCGTCTCAATGCCCGCAAACGAGTGGTCTGCCTGTCAGCCCCAACCACCCCATCACCCGCAGCCGACAGAGCGTTCGAGAGAATTTCGACAGCGGGGAATGCACTTCTGTTTAAACCAGCGGAAAAGCGACAGAGAGATAAAAAAGAGGGGAAAGAGCCTACCACTATGGTTTTGCCCGTGAGTGGCTCAGTTGTTGAATAAAAACCCAGCGAGCCCAAGTGGGTAGGTAGCAGTGAAGTACTTGGAAAGGGGATATGCCAAGAAGTGAGGTAATCCTGCCTGCTTCTAAGGTCTAAGTTGCACGCGCCAAGCCGTCGAAGTTTTTGTACTGCATGCTACGCCACAGCATACAGCGAAATTCGTTGGTTGAAGGATGCGTTTTCTCTACATAGCTGTAATTAAGTGCCTTGTAGAGGAGACTCGTGTGGTTTCACTAACATACTACGATAAGTGTTGCCGAGACCGCACATAAGGATCCAAATGCTCGTGATAGTCACAAAAGGAAACCATCGGGAAACCCAGGCTTGTATAAAATTACGGGGTAAACGGCTAAGGGCACACAAGCGAGACGAATTGCGAATTGGTCTTCACGGTGCCTCACACGTTCGCCTCGTTCAAGTGTCCCTTTTCATTTTCTTTTGTCCGTTACTTCTTATAATCTTTTCAGAGGTAATGTCATATATAATTTAGATCCCAGTCGGGACGTGAAGTTCCACCTGAATTCCATTTACAACACATAACGCAGATCCAGCATTTAACACACGTCTACCGCAGTCACGTCTTTGCACGCCCCAGATCCGGCCTCTATCCTACGCTCCTCGTCTTTGCGACCACTTCCCCCTCCCAATCTCTAACAAACGTGGTCCTCACCCCGCAACAATTTCGTTCTTCCGTCTCGCTGACTGAGTATGCCGCGAATAAGAAAAGGGGTAGGCTGTTGAATAATCTACGGAAGGACTTAACAAGTCCGGTTTAGAAGAGAACTCTGAATTCACTCAATAAATTTCGGTGGAGTTATAACGCTCACCTTGAAAAGTTGTCACACCGGAAACTACATACGGGGAATGCTGAGACCTTTCACAGCACCTAAGATCATGGGTAGGCCCTAACCACTACGATTCTCCGGTCAGGCCCTGAGTAGGAGAAGATAGATGTCAGTAGAAATGGAGTTTTTTCGTGTAGAATGCATGAGTCATAAAGCAGGCATCCCTTTTGTTGACGGATGCCTGCACGGTCAGTTGTGAGACCTGCGGGTCTACAGGAAAGCCTCGGAGACTGCGCAACTTCTCCGTTTTCACAGCAACCATCCGATGGCTCACAAAAGAAGCTGTACAAGAACACTCTTTAAACATGTCCAGACCAACTTCAGCAACACGGAAGAAACGGCACGCGAGGCGCGATAGCTCCACGAGCAATTTATTCGGAATGGTTATTCGGAGTTTATAAGTCGATGCCTATGTGTTCGCCTCCGGAGGACCCCACCGATGACATGGTATGCTTTGCCATACATCAAAAACGTTTTAGGGGCGGCCGAGTTCATTACTAGGGGACTAGGTGTTGGAGATGTCCACTGGATCAAAGCTGAGATGCGCAGCAATGTCATTAAAATCAATACCGGTTGAACCCGAGGGAGCAGTCACCGTAGTGTATCGTATTCCGTGCAAAAACTGTCCTTCCGATTAAGCAGGTCGAACTGAACACATCCTCAGATCGCGCATACACGATCATAAGGTGGCTGTGAGCAACCGGCCGCCCACATCTTTGAAACGGGTCACGAGTTTAACATCTCAGCCACCAAGATAATCGCCATGCCGAAAACAAGATAAGCCGAGAATTGATTGAAGCTTGGGCCTTGAATGAGAACCCAGCCAATCGATATATCGATTTGGCGAACAGCCTCCATAACTATCACCTGTTCTGGTGTTGCTTTTATCTCTGACAGTGGACTCCTGCAGGAGTTCAAAAGGTCAGACAAATAAACAGATGGCTCAGGTGCTCATCATTCGCGTCCACAACGTCCGTTCTGTCCGAGACAAGTAATTCCGAGCTACGTTGAGAAGGCGTAAGATGGCTGGAGGGTGAGCGACGAAAAAAACGATGCAGAGGCGAGTTGTCTAGTGAACGATGAGGGCGTAGGTTCGGTGACGTAGGACAGCGTATGATAAACTGTGTGCCACGATATAATAGTTCGTGCAGCAGGATATCTTTCGTGTGCTGCGAAACAAATCTTCAATTTCTTAGATCTCCTTCAATGCGAACAGATTAAAAAATTCAACTGGCGAACACATGTTTTCGGTAATTTGTCGCCAAGTCAGTACAGTTACATGGAGAATGAACTTTTGAGTTATGGACAGGATTTAAATATGTCTCAGGGGGCAGAGTTAGTCAGACTCCTTGTTCCCACACCGCCTGCATTACAGAGTCAGCGTGTTAAAGACGGTGGAGCTGGGGCGGGGGGGATGGGAGGAGAGGAGGGGCTGGGGTTAGGGAGTAAACGTAGTCTCTATGTCAAACACGCGGAGTGCGTGTGACTGCTCTCAGGGCGGTGGGGCGACGTGCGATCACCGCTTGGACTCGGCCACGGAAGACAGACTGTCCGTGTCAGCGTTTTCTGACAACAGAGGGTCGGATTCGCTAATCGAATAGCCACCTCCTCGGCAGTTGCTAGCACCCGTTTGCGCAGGCCCTTAGAGTAGTGTGCTGGCGCCCGGTAGATAACTTGAAAGGCTTCTTTGGCATCGACTTGGTGGTTCGTATCGTTCAGACGTGTGAGAATTTAAGTTGGGATAGATCGACTTTCCCCTTTATCTGGCCGGGCAGGCATGTGTTCGCGTATCCTCTTTTCCAGAGGCCTCGTTGTACGGCCAATGTAAGCCGCTCCACAGGAGCAGGTGAATGAATAGATACACATCGATATGGCCTGCAACGGCAGTCGGTCTTTGCCCTTCAACCGTAGTAGGGAAGAGCTTGCGAAGATTATGCACAAATTATCCGCGGGGGAGGCACTCGTGACAGCCCTCCTAAGACGTCGTCTCGCCAATTCGCTTCCTGCGTCTCCTACAAAAGACAGTCTTAGAAATAAGTCTTTCTTTTCTGCAGTTACAACGGATGGCGTAGACGGTCGCCATGGGCTTGTCGGTCAGTACGCGCGCGCGGCCGCAATCGCCTGCGCCAGCGATTGTCCAAAGTTCCAAGACGTCGGAGCGTCTGTGCAAAGATAGGTGACCTTGGGGTCTTAAGTAGCCACAACACGAAGTCTGTAAAACCCTGACGAGAGAGCAGCAATATTAACCAGCGATCTGCTCATCTCTCATCTCAATGCTAACGCCGAAGAGCACGGACACATGTATTTCCGTAAACCAGACGATAGTTCGACCGCCGATTTCGACGATGTCCACCGTGTGCCCCACAGCGGCAGCAGTGGGAGCAGGGACGGTGACTTGCGCAGGGATTTATACTGCCAGTAAACTTGCGCTGCATCCACCTACTCTCTCCTCCTCCCCCGCCTGAGTCCGGTGTCAAGAAAAAGTCAAGAACACCGGAGACGGGGGAGGTCGCAGGTGGATGGCTCGGACGGATCCTCGCCTTGGCGCTCCACTCCGCACCCTCTGGTCCACACAACAATGACCAGGATTTCGACCAAAAAACAATGGGGTGATGGCAGTGGTCCAGTTGTGCGACGATTACCGACAACAGGGTCTGCCAGCGCACCCCGCAGATGTTGGCATTTGTTATTGCGCACAGATAACGCCTGCCAGAATCCGATGTGGCCCCGTGTTGGTCCAGCGCATCCAACGTGGCCCGTTTGGAGGGCACACGTAAACCAGACACATGCTGTAGCGCACGCCCCAGAATGATAGAGCCCTACAAAGCCGTGATCGGCCGGCGAAAGTATTTAGTGCAATAGCCGGCACACCATACCCTCTTTGGTCCTGTTAACCCCGGACCCCAGTTCCGCTGGGTGTCTGGAAATGAATGAATGCAAGAACTAACAAATTCAATCAGCATCTTCTCCGGCCTTGGACACCGCAAGAACCTGGCGTCTCATCGACGTCCTCTAGGCAGAGTTCAGTCAACTGCTGTAGACAGTGCATCATACTGAAGGCACGAGAAGAAGGAACTGTGCGGTCATCAGCACAGGAAGGGGTGTTGGCTGGTTGGCCAACGACTTACCCTTCTGCTTCGAGGGCGATATTGTGATCGCTTCCCTAGATTATGTTCGGTGACACCGGGTTTACTGGGTGACGTTAAGCAAAAGTAGTTTAATGGGACTGGTTAAAAATGTTTAATAATGAGAATGATAAATAACCGCCATATTTGTTTTCCCAGACATACAGGGTGTCCCAAAAACGCGTACAGACTTGAGACAACTATAAAGCCAGTGCCCAATAACATTTATTTTCATAATGAGGTTGAGCCTACGTCGGGTAATTATGTCGTCAACGCCTGTTTACGAACTGTTGTCCGCTCCGGTCCAAGCACTGCCGATAACGCGAAGTAATGGAATGGCAAACACCAAAGAAACATTTTGCATGGTATTTGAGTGCACCTCAATTAAATGCCTACTCTCAACGCAGTGACTGTTGCCAGCTTTGTAGCACAGACTGTTTCTTCTAAGTATCCCTGAACAAAAAGTCTCCGGGTGTGCGATCCGGTATACAAGGTGGGTATTTTCTGAAATCTTCGTCCGATCCACCCGATTAGCAAAACCCCATCACGGCAGGATCTTGCGTTACGATGGTGACGTGGGGTGTCTCGTCCTGCGGGAAATAAAGCTCATTTTCAAAGACCTCTCTAGTGTTTGGCTCGACAGACTGTTACTGCAGTTTAAGTAAAGGGGACCGTTCACAGTAACATCGAAAAACAATGGTCTGACTAATCGCCTTGGTGGAAAGACACACCAGATTGTAGCCCTAAGTTCGGTGTGGCCATCTGGTCCTGGTCCTTACGTATATAAGGACGCGGGACTTCATAAGCCGCGGGAAAATCCAGCTGATTGTTGATAGGGCTGGCATCTGAATACCACGCCTTAAGCGTGAGTCGCTCTGTTCATGAGGTGCTCCGGCCTAAGATGGTCGTTTCTTGAAAGTCAAAAATGCGACCGGGCTTCGGTAGGTGGCAGCCTGTCCTTAAGTCAGTGTGCGCCTGTGTGCAACTGGGCAAGTACAAACGACAGTATTCAGGAAATCCACCGGCACGAGGAAAATACTACACTTCAACAACTACACTGTTTCACAAACGTTACTGCGTCGGGTCTGTTCTAAAGAGTTGAAAACACTACATCACTACGGCCGAGAAAAGGGCTGAACAGCGATACTTTCATGACCTTTTCTGGGTTACTGGATACTCAAGATATTTTACCAAGCAAAGCACGCACTGAATGGACAGACGGCACCCAAAAAGAGCAGCAACCCAAAGTCAGCTACCTATCGAAACCTCGGCAATTAATCACCAAAAATGTTGCAACGATGGGGACTGCAACAGCGTCAGAGAAACTGGACAAAAGTTGCAGTGCAGCCTACATGAACAACTCCGCTCTTTAAACCGCATCTCTTTTGATTACAGTATGAGCTAATCTTGGTATGAAACTTTTCCAATGAAAGTACTTCAAAATAAGATGGACGGGCCAATTCGAAAGAAATATTGATGGACTCATCAGCTGCCAAAGTGCCGAAAACGCCTCTGTGGAGAACCGCTGGTGTCAACTGCGTGACACAGTCCAATCGACGGCGCTCGCCGTCCTCGGTCGCGCTCCCCGCCAACACCAGGACTGGTTCGACGACAACGACGCCGCCATCAGCAATCTGCTTGCCGAGAAGAACCGCCTACACAAAGCCTACGTAGATCATCCCACTGAGGACAACAAAGCCGCCTTCTACCGCAGTCGCCGACAGCTTCAGCAACGACTGCGCGAGATGCAGGACGCCTGGACTGCTCGCAAAGCTGAGGAGATCCAAGGCTACGCGGACCGCAACGAATGGAAGAACTTCTTCTCCGCGATCAAAGCTGTCTACGGTCCGCCGACGAAGGGCACTGCTCCTCTCCTCAGCGCTGACGGCAGCACTCTCCTGACTGAGAAGACGCAAATCCTGCAGCGATGGGCCGAGCACTTCCGAGGCGTCCTCAACCGCCCTTCCGTCATCTCCGACGCCGCCATCGCCCGCTTGCCGCAAGTGGCGACCAACGTGGACCTCGACCTCCCGCCATCTCTCCAGGAAACTATCAGGGCCGTGCAGCAGCTCTCCAGCGGGAAAGCACCCGGATCGGACGCAATCCCAGCTGAGGTCTACAAGCACGGAGGTCCCCTACTGATGGATCACCTGACTGCGCTCTTTCAGGAGATGTGGCGTCAAGGTGAGGTCCCGCAAGATTTCAAGGACGCAACTATCGTGCACCTATACAAGCGAAAAGGGAATCGTCAAGTCTGCGACAACCACCGCGGCATCTCCCTACTGAACATCGCCGGGAAGATCTTCGCTCGCATCCTGCTCAACCGCCTCAACAACCATCTGGAACAGGGCCTTCTGCCGGAAAGCCAATGCGGCTTCCGTCGTCATCGTGGGACCACGGATATGATCTTCGCCGCCCGCCAACTTCAGGAGAAGTGTCAGGAGATGCGTGGACCTGACGAAAGCCTTCGACACGGTGAATCGTGAAGGACTGTGGAAGATCATGCAGAAATTCGGCTGTCCGGAGCGATTCACTCAGATGGTGCGTCAGCTGCACGACGGTATGATGGCGCGAGTCACGGACAACGGAGCTGTCTCAGAGGCATTCGCAGTGACCAACGGAGTGAAGCAGGGCTGTGTGCTGGCGCCTACCCTCTTCAGTCTCATGTTCTCTGCCATGCTGATGGACGCCTACCGCGACGAACGCCCCGGGATCCGCATCGCCTACAGAACGGACGGTCGTCTCCTGAATCAACGGCGCATGAACTTCCAATCGCGTGTATCCACAGCCACCGTGCACGAACTCCTCTTCGCCGACGACTGCGCCCTGAACACCACCTCGGAAGAGGAGATGCAACGGAGCATGGACCTATTCTCCGCCGCCTGCGAGAACTTTGGGCTGGTTATCAACACGCAGAAGAAGGTGGTGATGCATCAGCCGCCTCCCAACTCAGCCACAGCCCCCAACGCGCCGCCGCAAATCAGCGTGAACGGAAATCAACTGCAAGTGGTAGAGAACTTCCCGTATCTGGGCAGTACCCTCTCCCGCAACACCAAGATTGATGACGAAGTCGCCAACAGGATCTCGAAAGCCAGTCAAGCCTTCGGACGCCTCCGAAGCACAGTTTGGAATCGCCACGGTCTCCAACTGAGCACAAAGCTGAAGATGTACAAGGCCGTCATCCTGCCGACGCTACTGTACGGAGCGGAGACCTGGACGGTATACACGAGGCAGGCACGTCGACTAAACCACTTCCACCTCAGCTGTCTCCGCCGCATCCTGAGGCTGAACTGGTAGGATCGAATCCCCGACACGGAAGTACTGGAACGAACGGGAATCCTCAGCATCTACGCCATACTGAGACAAATGCAGCTGCGCTGGAGCGGCCACCTGGTGCGCATGGATGACGAGCGACTACCCAAACGACTCTTCTACGGAGACGTCGCGACGGGTTCTCGTCGTCAAGGAGGCCAAATTCGCCGTTACAAGGATACTCTGAAGTCCTCCCTGAAGCGCCTGCAAATCAACCCGACCAACTGGGAAGAGCTCGCTCGCGATCGCCCGACATGGAGGAGAACAGTGAAGACGGGCGCTGCTATCTACGAAGCCAACCGCATCGCAGCCGCCAAAGTGAAACGCGAAGCCCGCAAATCACAAGTTCGCCCAATACGCAACGCCGCCGCACAACCTCTCCCTACGTGTCCTCGATGCCACCGGACATTCCGGGCACGAATCGGACTTGTTGGACATCTTCGGATCAACTGCACCTCTCGAACTGTCCCAGCCACCGTCCCCCCGCCCGCCTCTTCCTCGTCCTCTCTTCCGC